AGATCCCTGAGGTATATTTCACTTTTTTTTATTGTAACTTTGTTTCTAACCCTTGACAATTATCCTGTGAATTTTAATTAACTTCCCTTTTGATTGTCAGCTTTTTAAGACTTGTCCAAACTCAACAAAATATATGAAGAGTGAGTAATACTAATTGAACCATTCACTCTCTTTTTTTTATATACTTGTGATCCTAATGATCAATTATGCTTAATCACAAATGAAGCTGTTGTGAGCTTTGGCGGTGTCAAACCGGAACAAAAAGAAGAAGCTGAAAAATTGGGATTGGTTATACATTCTTGGGATGAGTTTTTGAAGCTGGTAATAGACTTTCATTTGCTTCTTTTTTCCGGAATTACTAACAATGATCATTCACATATAATATGGTATAATATATATTCTGTTTTGACAGGGTGAGGGTAAGCAATATGATCTTCCCATTAAAAAGCAAAGCGACATATGCACGATTATGTATACTAGCGGAACCACTGGTGATCCGAAGGGAGTTTTGATTTCAAATGAAAGCATTGTTACTATAACTACTGGAGTGATGCATTTCCTAGGGAATGTGAATGCAAGCGTGAGTTTTATTTCATTTGTCATGATTCACATGAAGCGACAGTTTTGAAGTTTAAGTTATATTGAATTTTGCATTGAAAAAACAGCTATCCGAGAAGGATGTGTATATTTCTTATCTTCCTCTCGCGCATGTCTTTGATCGGGCTATCGAGGAATGTATTATTCAAGTAGGTGGTTCAATTGGTTTCTGGCGGGGGGTAAGTGAATACAGCTCAAATCTGATCTTCCAACTAGTTATGATTTCTTTTATTTTTTACTATAGTTCTGTCTCATGTCCTTAGGATGTTAAATTGTTGATTGAAGACCTTGGTGAGCTAAAACCAAGTATCTTTTGCGCCGTTCCTCGTGTGCTAGATCGAGTATACACAGGTATCGAATATTGATCAAGCTCTTGTATAAAATATTTTCATCCAATTAAGAGCATCATATATTTTGTTTCATATGTTCAACCACTTATATGTAAATTTATTGTCTCCAACAGGACTCCAGCAGAAACTATCTGTTGGTGGTTTCTTCAAAAAGAAGGTGTTTGATGTTGCTTTTTCCTAGTAAGTCCTATGTTTATTACCTAAACCTGATGTTAAACTTATCTAGATATTTAACACACTCAATCTCTTTTAGTAAATTTGGAAATATGAAGAAGGGACAGTCTCATGTGGCAGCTGCTCCATTTTGTGACAAACTTGTATTCAACAAGGTAAGTAATCTCTAAAAATACGTGAAACTCTTTTGAGACTTCAACACTTTTTCATAATCTCTCTCTCAAGGTTAAACAAGGACTTGGAGGCAATGTGAGGATTATTCTATCTGGAGCGGCTCCTCTCGCTAGTCACATAGAGTCATTTCTAAGAGTTGTGGCATGTTGTAATGTTCTACAAGGATATGGTAAACCTTTAGACCCAAAAGAGATTCAATTATGAAGTAGCTAAAAATCCCTTGATCTTTTGATTGTTTCTTGTGTAGGTCTAACCGAGAGTTGTGCTGGAACTTTTGCAACGTTCCCGGACGAACTAGACATGCTTGGAACAGTTGGTCCACCCGTGCCAAACGTTGATATACGCCTTGAATCTGTTCCGGAAATGAATTACGATGCTCTTGGTAGTACTCCGCGTGGCGAAATCTGTATCCGTGGAAAAACTTTGTTTTCAGGGTACTACAAACGTGAAGACCTCACAAAAGAGGTTCTTATTGATGGATGGTTGCACACAGGTTACTAAAAACCCCAACACTTTAATCATTTTGCTTTGCCATCATTGACAATGTAAGTTCTTCTTTACCTTATTTAACTCATTAGGTGATATTGGTGAGTGGCAACCAAATGGAAGCATGAAGATAATTGACCGGAAAAAGAACATCTTCAAACTCGCGCAAGGGGAGTACGTCGCTGTTGAGAATTTAGAAAATGTCTACAGTCAAGTAGAAGTTATTGAATCAGTGAGTTGAACTCTAACCCATTAATTTATAATTGTTATGTTTCACCCGTTTCCAACTCATAACTAATTGGCAACTCATATCACTTTGATGTGGGTTCCTAACAATAATTTTTCTGACATCTTCATTGGCATAAATTCTCATCAATATATGTTTTTTTTCTATTAGGTATGGGTGTATGGAAACAGCTTTGAGTCCTTCCTTGTCGCAATCGCTAACCCGGCCCAACAAACTCTTGAGCGATGGGCCGTGGAGAATGGAGTGAATGGAGACTTTAACTCCCTCTGCCAAAACGCAAAGGCAAAAGCATTCATACTTGGTGAACTTGTTAGAATAGCCAAAGAGAAAAAGGTTTCCTTCTCTTTCTCTTTTTTTTTTCTTTATTTGGACTTTCTTTATTCTTTTTTGTTTTTTACTCTCCGCATTTGTAGTTGAAGGGTTTTGAGATCATAAAAGCTATTCATCTGGAACCAGTGGCTTTCGACATGGAAAGAGACCTTCTTACTCCAACCTACAAAAAGAAGAGGCCTCAATTGCTCAAATACTATCAGGTAATTTTAAAACGTTTTATGCGATATTAAGCTTTAAAATTTTTGGTTTTGAACTCACTTTCTAATGGTGTTATGGAACAGAATGTGATAGATGAAATGTACAAGACAACAAAGGAAGGTCAAGCTTCAGGACAGTAGATTTCTTCTACTTATCTAATTCATTATTTCTTTTGCATAAGACATTACTGCTTCATATATATGGTTCTCTAAATAAGTTTGTGTGTTAATATCTTGAGATGTTACATAGCATCTTGACATGCTACAACATGTCTTAAGTTTTACTTCCTTTTAAAGTTCCCACATTATTAAGGTTCCAAACTTTGTTTGAACTTGAACCCGGAATCTCGCAATCAGTTGAAACTATAGTATGAATCGGGCCATTTTCATAAGTTTCACTAATAGATTTGAATGTAACTGATAAGTAAAATTTTCGAAACGGATTAATGTTTATCAGACAAATTTGATGAGTTTTCGAAAACGTTGATTGTAAATCGTTATTTTTATTCACAGAAATCTATGTTGCCTATTAAATGACATTCGTTGTTTCTAATACAGTAACATGGTATTTTAACATATAGTCCTATAAAGTATTATGCAGTTGAATCATATAATATTTTTGCTAGAGTTTCAATGAATTAAATGTCGTTATGTCACGCCACTCGTATTAAAACACACACACACACAAGTTGAATGTTGTCAACAAAAACAAATTGTTGCTATTTAATTGTCAGCATTCTATTTTTTCAAATAAGAACTAGGATTTGACCCGCGGTACACCGCGGGATAATATTTTATTTTTTACATATAATAATATTGAATTTTTACAATTTTTCAATTAGTATTAAATACTTAGTGATTTTAGTTTTAACCCGTTTTAGTATTAAATTTTTTGTGCTTTTAGATTTAATCGGTATTACATATGTAATTTAGTAATTAAGTATTATAGTTACACATTTAAAGATATAAAAAAACTAACAATTTCGTTTAAATCCTACATCAGGTTCTTGATAATCATAACCCGCTCTACTATTTAATTTGCGAATTCTTAAATATACTTTATCAAGATTATTTCACGTTGAAATTTTTTAATATTTTATCATAACAATATAGTTTTTGATTTTTTTAAGATATTTTATAATTGTTTTGGTACTTTTTTGTTTAACAGTTATCGCCCGCTGGCCAACCCGTCATCAACCTCCCGCAACGCATCCATTTTTAATTGCTGAATCAGTCGTTCAAAACGTTAAGTATCGCTTAAAACAGTAACCATCCGTTTCTGCAACTGCCCTTTACCACAAATTCTTTTAACTGCAACCGTATACTCGCATATAAACCAGTTAGGCCTTAAATATGGTGATATCAAAATTGTAAAATATAATGTAGGTTCAAATTATTAATTGACAACATTACTATTCCTTCATTTTTTATTATCTTATCTCAAAAAATTAACTTTTGATCTCTCCAAAGAAAAAAAATGGAAATGTGCCAAAAACGTTGATGTCATTTACTTGTTAATTGAAAAAAGGTTTCCAAAATAAATGCATGAGAAATTCGGAAAAACTTGCATAAAAAAAAAATTACACAGCCCACGCCATTGGTTTTTTGGGCCAAGCACATATATGAGTACAAAACCCATAAGCGAAAAAAAGAAGAATACAAACCTATAATTAAGTAAAAAAATATCTGAACCAATAATTACACAAGTTTTTTGTTCTTGTCGAGGTGAAGCGGCGAAGCAGTTTCATGATTGACGGAGGACGACGCATCTTAGATCGTGAAGCAGTTTCATGATTAGTGAAGAAGGTGAATCAATTATGATGTCAATTTAGTGGTGCAATCAAGAACCGACTTTGAACCATTTGGGAAGCAAGTTCAGGGTTGAGTATCTATAGGTAGAGATTCTACTCCTAATTTTATTTTTTTGATCAAATAAAATTCTACTCCTAATTAAAATATCAAGTTTAGGGTTCAAATTTGACTCAAATTGTTCTACCTTCTGCGATTGAATCGCAATTAGATAGAAACAACCGATTAATCTAGAAATTAAAGACAGAATATCCATGCATCTGCCATTGTTGTTATTTCGTAGAAAAATTTGATTTCTTTTCATTTTGTTCATGGATTCTTAAGGTGATTGATTAGAAATTGTAGATGTTGTGGTCAATGATAGTACGTCCTCTTATACATAAATTTATAATTATATTGCCATCAATTAGATCTCATAAAATGATTTGTAATGTTGTTACAGTTACAATTTTACACAACCTCTAATTAAAAAGATGGAACCACTCAAACAGCTGGTAGAAAAGTCGCTTCCTTCATGCTAGTGCTACGACTATAGGCTCTCTTTCAGTCAATTTGTCCATGCGGATTCAGGTAACTTGTTCTCCACCAAAACACAATTTCTTTAAGGAATGTCCCAAATTATATAAAACTAAAAAAAATTACGTGATTTTATAGACAAACCCGTAAAAATCATATAAGTGTACTTACGTTAAGTCTAATTTCCATCACATGATCTGGCTACTGGTAGCTGCAGACTTCTTGTTGTAAGCTTCCACTTCCTTTTTGTATGCTTCCATCAGTTTTGCGGCTTTTTTGTTGTAAACTTGCTTCTCTTCTTCACCCAATTCCTACAAAGATAATTATTCACTCAGAAAAATTAAGAACATGAAAATGATATAATATAAGCAAATGTTTTTATTAAAGATCAGAGCGGTGACAGTAGAGTTGTTTGTCCCGGGACATTTTTCAGTCAATCTCTTCCTTTCGTCCTTGCTGCAAAACATGTTCTCTTTTAAAAGAGAGAAACTTTCATGAAGACCAATACTGAGCTTAGGATTAAACTTGGAGTTCGTACCTTAAGAGAGAGTATGAAGAAGCGGGCTTCTTGGGTTTGTTAGGATCAACATTTTCGTTCTTCTTCTTCTTGGTCGCTTTCTCCTTCTGCAATAAACATAGCTGATGCATATTTTTGAAAATGGCCTTTGGTTAGTAAATTGAGTGAGAGAGAGAGTTACCTTAATCAGATTATCAGTTTTCTCCTTCTTCTTGAGCAATTGAAGAGCTTCTTGTTTGTGGAGTTTCAAGAGTTCCTCTTCTTCTTTCTTCTGACTCAGGGCTTCTTCTTCCTTCGTCCTCTTGTATTCCTCCATTGTTTCGTCCTTTTAAAAATTCATTCTTTTGCCTTTTTCATCCTGCAACAAATTGAAAGGCGTATCATTCATAGGGACTTTAAAAATCTTGTGTTCAATACTTTATGGGCATATAAATTTTAAAAAGGGAAATGGTTGATAGTTTAACATAGCTGATGCATATTTTTGAAGAACAACCATATAACCTATATAGTCTTAAGATTATAATAATCCAAAAGAAAAGAACATAAGTGCAAAATCTAACAATAATGATGAAGTTAAAATAGAGATTTTAGTAACTTACTCGAGAAAGTCTGTTTGTTTTATTAGGTTTAGTGAGAAGCAAAGAGACCATAGAGAAAGGAGAATGGCAAATGAAGCAGCCATTTATTTGTGATAGGAATTTTGTCGTGAAAAAGGTACAATGTTGATGTGAGATTTCATTTGTTAGTGACATCATATTTATAGAGGTTTTAGTCGGTTAGGATTAGGTTAGATACTCAATAGTAATCAAGAATATCTTGGCGATAAAGCCAGATTTGCTAGATATTTAATTACCACATTTTACGCAATATGAAATTGTTTATTGAAATTAGTTTCCAGTTTGCTTTAAATTCGGGATTATAGATAGGGTTAATTACGGGCCAGGCCCAAAGACTATGTTTTTCTTTCAGGTTTTGACAAAGTGGGGGAGACCTTTCACGTTTTGACAATTATGTCATTTTTGGACAAAAATGCCCTTCTAGCAGAACCGGTGTACAGCGACAGCGAACGAATTCGTTAGGCACGTTGGTTACGTACACAGTATCTCGTTAGCTACAGTAGAGATGTTTTTTAATTGTTTTCCGTCGTATGTACAATGTACGACAGCCGATTAAAAAAATTAAAATATGCTGTGATAAAGGGTTTAAATGCTAAAAAATTAAAGACATGACTAATACCAACTATAATCAATGCAAACTCATCATTACATCTTATTTTATTCCTCTTAAATCATATATACGTAAACTTTTTAGATTTTGTAAAGAGAAAGAAAAACAAAACAAAAACTTCCCAAAAATATCTATGAACGAACAAGATTGTGGCCATTTTGATCTTGTTGTGTAACAAAGTTTGCAGGCTAGAAAGCAGTGAACGTGGTAAGTAATGAAGTTGTAAATATAAAATTGAGCTACTACATAGACTTGAATTTTGATTTCAACGAAAACAAAATTGTAATGAATACAAAACTTCAGGAAAAATTAATTTTCCTTTCTTGATTCTATATTTTTTTGTAGTAAAGTTAAATGAGGAGATTCTGTGTGCATTAAGTGTGTAGTTGGAAATTCTTTTTGTAGTTGAACCTATAAAAGTTGTTCTCAGTTGCATTTAATGGGGTTCTCCTGAATTTATGATGCAGAATGTTAATGGAGGTTCCAGTATTTATTATGGTTGGTGAGTGGAGATTAACAGAAGAACAATGGAAATTTGAACCTGAGAAAGGAAGCTATGGTCGGTTTGTACGTGTTAGGAAAAACATGACGTACACGGATTTGACACGTACATTATGTGAGGTTTTCAATTTAAAGTACACTGAATGGCATCCAATAATTAGTTACTGGATGCCGGGAAATATGTCAATTGTGATAGAACGTACACGCCCTCCTGTCTACATTGACAATCAAATGAGCCTGGATACATTCTTCTTGATTCGTGTTGGGGGTCCTAGTGTAAACTTGTTTGTGTCTTTTAGTACAACCGTCAAGGGAGGCATGAATAGTATTTCTACGATGGATGGCCATGATGCTGAAACCAACCCTGGGTCAGGTAGTGGAAACTCACCAAAAACCATGGTAGAGCCTTATAATGTGGATGCCACTAATGCGGATGTAGATGAGCAAAATGACGTAGAGGACGAAAAAACAAATGAAGATGCAGACGATGAGGAGAACGAAGAGGTGGATGGGGAAGACTTTAATGACAGCGACGACAACATTGATAAATATGACGATGCCAATGGTGGATATAGTGCGGGAAGTACTCTCGACCCTACTATAGACGTCAGTGAAGCTAGTGATGAAGATTACGAGTATAATAAGTGGAATAATTTTATTGTAGAAGAATATGGAGTTGGCCATGTTGAGGAGGACGTGTGTAACACTCAACCGACCGTGGAACCAGCATGGGAATTCAGTCGTCTATTGGCAGAGTGTACGAACACAAGTCAACGTGTACGTACAGGAGAAACCAGTGCGATTTTTGGTGACACTCAGCCAACTGTGAATTTAACCCGGACGTGTCAACATGGATTGTTCCCATGTACGTACACTAGAGACAGTGTACAAGACACATGACGCGAAGGTGAATTTGTTACGTGTAAACATGGATTGTTCCCATTTCTTGGTTCATTACCCTCTACAAGGAATTTGTACAATCCCTCTAATCTAGTACCATGTATGTTCCACTAAATATTGTTGTATATGTATAAGAGATTTTTAGGATGAAACTGTTTAGTTGGTCGTGTACGTGTACGTGTATCTCAGTATAATCACAATCGTGTACGTTTACAAGTTAAGTTTGAAACCTTATTTCTTCTCCAGCAACAATAAAGTGCAACATAACATTCATTAATTAATTTTGAAATACAAGTTCCATAAAAAAGACTATAATACTATATCAAAACAAAAATGTCGTAATTAAAAAATATATCATATTAAATATAAAGCATTTGGCTAACTCAATATTTGTATATTACACCATGTATATTACAAATATTCAACTAAAACATGCAAAACATATACGTTTATAAGTCAATATTTGTATCGAATATATTTCATGTATGTCTATCACTAAGTCATATACGTTCACAACAATATTGAACTAACAACCAGACGGGTCCTTACGATTCGGAGAATGTAAAATATGGGATATGAACTTTATTTATTGTGTTTCTAGTTTGTTGAAAAATAAATTATGAAAAGAAAACAACTAAATATGTTGTGGAGGTATGTTGTGAAAATGTTAATCAACGAAAAAACTCCTTGTGGAGGGTAATGAACCAAGAAAACAATCCAACCGGCAACCCTTCAGATCATACAATAATATTATCCTCACATATTGAGTCCATACTTCTAATTTTTGTAAGATATGTTGCGAAATATTAATCAAATTAACCAAAAGTTTCTAATATACAAACTCTATAATATTGCGTACATCGTCTCCACAATAGTACATAATCTAATAGACGTACACGTCCACATAATAAATATTGCGTACACCGTAAATTGTGTACACGTACACGGAAGAAATTCAAACAAGGACATGATTGTAATTTTGCAGTCATCTTCAACCTGAATATCCTCTTCTGCAACTCTACTTTTTGCTTTTGCTCTCCGACCATGTTCAATACATGCAAATCGATTTCACTCTCAATATCTTCTCGCCGACTATCCCTCTTCACCGAGATTTGGGTCATGTTTACGGAAATCCAAATTTCCAAGACACGAAATTCGTCTTCTCGTTTGAGTCATCAACTCTGATACCTTGGAAATTTGTATCTTCTCCTCGCAGGAAATCTTAAAGCTGTTTTTACTCGCTTGAAAAAGCATCAATCAAAGATGAATGAAAGATTTAACAAGTAATCTCTGAAACGATTACCTCTCAAATTTTCAGAAAATATCTCGGTGAAGAAGTTGAGATTTTCAATTTCTCTTTACTTTTTTTTTCTTCGTTTCTTTTCCCAAAAATATTAGTTTTTTTATTTAGTTATAAATGAGACAAAACACAAAAATAGTTGGATTATAATTGAACTAGAACAGTTTGTGTTTAAGGGCATTTTTGTCAGAAAAGTGGCAAATTGTCAAAACGTGAAAGTTCACGTTCACTTTGTCAATTGGTGAGACAAAAACTCATTTCTATCCTTTTTGTGAAAATTTCTTTTATAGATATTAGGCAAGATTTTAATATTCGAATATACAGAGAATATGCCTAATGTTAGTTACCAAATATATATGTTTCGATTGTCTTATTATTATTTGTAAGATTTAGTTACCAAATAACAATTACGATTTTCTTATGTACCATTGATATATTTCCAAAATTAAAGTTGTTAATTTCTTTTACCTATTTTGTAGGAGTGAAGGCAATAAGGTAAGATACGACTGATTTTTTTTTGGAAAGTCTAGAAAAAATGAAAGATCCAATTCCTTATTTTCGGGTCAAAATCCGGGTCAAATTCCGGGTCAAAATTTGACCCGATTAGGAACCCCAAAAAGTGTTGCAAAAATGTATAGTAGAAGTTGCGTAAAGCCGTAGACACATTGTAACCATACATTACAATTTAAACCAATTGTCGGTAGTTCATCTGGAAAACCACCAAGAACAAATCCTAGATGTCACTGATCTGTTTAAGTGACGATTGTGAATGGCTTCGATATGTTTCATGTATCCATCAATATATTTCGATCCATCCATCCTGTTTTCATCATAAAATCGACGAAAACATATTTGTAGAACTGTTATATTGATAGGCTTAGTGCTTAGAGAGTGATCATGCACGATTTCAGTACTCAGATATAATCTAGTGAGAAGCTAGAGTCACCAAAATCATATTTCGCCAATGTAACGAAGTAGTGGCTCAATCTAAGCAAGAAGCGGTTTTCAAGAAACACTATTTAACTATTCTTGTTTGTTCGTTTCCATTTGGTTCACTGAACCTATTCATCGTGACTATGTATTATCTTTTCAATCAATAAAGCATTTTGTCTGAGCAATAAATGACTTACGTTAAGAAAACCCCTTTGGAGAGGAAATGTGACAATTTATATATCTTTATCAGCTGATATGTGACGACCGTTACAACACAAACGTCATGTGATCTTTTTTTTATTTGATCGAAACTTTAGTTTTACAACAAACCAGACCGGGTCAATCTAATAAACCAACCCTATAGAGACACGTAAAGAAACCACTATAGGTCCATTTTTTCGATTGCTTAAGTTTTCAATCCTAATTCCGTGAAAACGATGAATTATTTCTCTTTTCCTTTCTAAATTTCCGAGTCTCCACCATTGCAGATTATACTGAAGAAAAATCAGTAAATTCAACCAGTTCTGCTCATTGGTTAATTCTAACGATCGCATGTCTAATCAGAAACCCGAAAGACAATAGAATTCTTTTTTTATATAATAATTTTTTTTTTTTTTTGGTAGGGTTTTTTATAATAACTTTTGTTTATAACATTTTACTTTTAAAAACTTCAACAACATGATTTTTATTTATTTTATTTTTTTCTTAATATTACTTTTCAATACTTCTCAATGTATACAACTTACTTTTATACTAAAAAATTTCTCTTTTATACGTGCAGATTACAAGAATTATATCCGGACAATTGTTGATTTTTCTTGTAATCAAACTTTTATTTTATTCATCTCTTGGAGCTCTTTCCTGATAATTTGTTTTTCTTTAATTTTGGTGCATATATATATGTATAAAATATCCACATTAATTTTTTTTTTTGTTAAAAAATATCCGCATAAAAAGTTGACCAACGAACACCTAGGAAACCCATTTTGGATTTTTTTGGTTGATCACTATCCCGGCTCATATATTCCAATTAATAATCCTTAAAAGAGAAAATTCCAAGAAAAGTTTAAAAAGTTATACCTATCCATTTCATAAAACTAAGCATTGTTGTCGGCATTTCTTCCTTTATTCTTTTAATTTCAGCTTTTTGAAACATATACAACTTGACGAACAATTATGCATGCAAGTTATGAAACAGACGTGTGTCGTTTTACTCGTGATATGTGTCCGTTAATGGACGGACCTCCATTCGAAGGCAAATGATGTTCCTTTTTGTTTACTTCCAGAAACGTATATTATAATTATAATTGCTTGACGCATTTGAACTATTCGACGTATACTTGGTGAATCGATAGAAAATAAAATATTTTTTCTCAACCAAGTTGGGATATTTTGAAGATTTAAAAGAATAAAAGTTTTTGATAGAATCTTTCGTAGTGCAGTTACGTATTTTATTGGCTTTAACAATAAGTTGATGGAGTCTAGCAAAATCTATTTTGTATCTATTTTTTTTGTCACTTATCTATATGTATATCTAAGTACTTTAATAATATTCACATACACTTTTTATTGCTCAGTTTCAAAATAATATTCAAATACATGCATTAATTAGTAGCATTCTGTATGTCATGAAATATAAAGAATGAACCTAGTATTTTGAATTTTGTTATAATTTTAGGTCTGAATACGGATAGTTAAAGTTGTTATAGTCTTGATTGATGATACCCGACGATATTAGTAATAGATACTTTTATAAGCCTGATGGCTAAATCTTCAATGTTCCCACCGACTCTTTAGTTTGATGGATTCGATCTCCTATGTTTGTTTGAGTTAAAGTGTAGTCTCAGACCACTTGACTAGTAGACAAAAAAAAAATATTGAAATAGCCACATAATCACAAATAATGTGGTCTACCAAGGTGTCTAGATTACGGTTTCTATTAAGTTCTTTTCTTGTTGCATGAAAAAACGTATCACGATAGAAGTGGCTGTCTCTAGACCGTCATTTCATTTTTTGCACTTTTTTTTTCCTATTTTTTTTAATAATAGTAAAAAGACACAACAAGATATGTGTATATATAAACACAAGCAAGTGTTAGGTATATAAAATACTTTCTGCCTAACTCAACGGATGTGTTAGTTTTCGAAGACTTAAAGAGGAGTCGTTATCATGAAAACGGATAAACCCATAATCGCCGAAGACGGCGACTGTGGCGAGAGCAAGCGGGTAAGAGTGGCTGATCCGGGATTTACCGTCGGTGGTGAGGACAGACCTGTAAAATGTCCAAAAATTGAAGACAACGGTACGTCAGTTTACTAGTTATCAAAGTCACTAATTTTGCTTGTTTTCGAATTTTCAAGAGTGTTTGAATCTAATATAGCACAGAGACAAAACTTTCGCTTTTTCGATCGATTATCTTGACAGAAGCATTAAAGTTAAATATATGATATTTATTATTAAAGAAACTTAAGACTAATTTTTGTTCTTGGTTAATAACATAAAAAAAAATTTTACAACTAGCTAGGAATATTCTAATATTATCAAACCAGAAACATTTTGGGTGATTGTACGTTTTAGTTTCCATGATTAAGATCGACAGAAAATTTTAAATATTGTTTATTCAGTTCTTTAAAACATTTAATACTTGAAATAACTACATATTTACTTTTATTTTGTTTGAAGTCTTAACAAAATAAAAGTATAAACATAAATCTAGTGTATTTTTACCAAAACAAAATTTATAGCAAAATAATTCGTTACAAAAATGTTTTTTCAACATCGAGGACTAATAAATTTGCTTCTACATATACTAATCTTAGGAGATGTTGGGACATCAGAAGGAACACAACTCTTTGTCGATGAACTAATGGCTGACGTGGCAATTAACGATAAAGACAGAAAAACAAACGCCGGCCATGGAGTAGTCTCAGTTATGGGACGGCAGAGAGCTATGACAACCGCCGTTTCCACCGTCGTTGAGGAGATTCCGTCTTATGACATTTTCGGAATCTTCGACGGTCTTAGGGTCGCTAAATTCTTCGAGGACAGGCTTCGTCGGCTCGTGAAGGATGAGGTAAAAGCATGCCACAGCCGCGGGGTGGCGGCTGACTGGAATAAAGTTATGAAATCGTGTTTTTCGGAGGCCGTGGGGACAGTGGGGGCCACCACTGCGACAAAAGCGGTGGTAACAATAGTCGGAAAAGAGGAGGTGGTTGTGTTGTGCCGTGGCGGCGCAAGAGTGGTTTTATACTCTCACGGCGGAGTTGCTTTACCTCTCTGCCATATCCATCATCACAAGGTAACCTTTTTTTCATTATTTTTTTTATCACAAGGTAACTTTTGTTGCAATTAAAGTTATTTATTAAATTTGATCTTTAATTTTCTTTTTGGCAATTTTGTGTGTGTGTGTTGTTCCGTGTTATTTAAGTATATCTAACCATATATATATATATATATATATATATATATTTTTTTTTTGTCACATTTTCAGGATGGTGTAGAGCAAATCCTAAAGATCCATAAACGAAAAAAGATAGACGACTTCATAGTATTTGCATGCGATGGTCTATGGGAAGTTGTCTCCGACGGTGACACATATCAGCTTGTCAAATGTTGTCTTTACGGCAAATTACCAGACGGGTTAGATTCTTACTAGGGATATTAATTTATTTATTTTGTCTTAATTTTACTATAAAGACTAATGAATCTGATACTTTTTCCTATAAATTTGACAGATGTATCAGTGAATCAAGGACGACAAAGGCTGCAGTGATACTGGCAGAGCTTGCTATTGCAAGAGGAAGCAAAGAAAATATAAACGTCATTGTTATTGATCTCAGAAGCTCTACCGTTTCTTAGTTTTTTTCTTTCTTTTATTTGCGATTCTTAATTAGTTTTTTATAAGTTTTTTTTTTTTTGTTCTCTCAATTATAAGTTTCCATTTTACATATTTCTTTTACTTTTTTTTTCCTTTTGTTTTGTTCGATTAGTTTTTTTTTTTGGGTTTTTTTTTCTTTAATTTTCGCTTGTTTTTTCTCTTTAAATGTAGTTTGCTTGGGAGTTTGTTTCTCACACCCCTGTTTTGTCATTCTCCTCAGAGACAAGTTGCTTAGCTAAATGTATTTTTTATATATATGCAAGATAACTTTTTGAATTAAAAAGTATTGCATACGGCATTATTCCGTGAAAAATAATTTTATTGTAGTTAAAAAAAAAATGTTTTGTGAAAATACAATGCAAATAACGGTTATCTTTTTGGCATTCGTTATATTGTAGATGCAAATTGATATTTGAATAATACTACAAAAAAAATATCAGTCACCAACAATCAGTTATGATTTGGACACCAATCATAGTCATTAATTTTGTTTTGTATGCAACGGATAAAGAGCGGATCCGACTACAAGTTAGCGGACCAAGCTACAACCAGAGTCTATAAGAAACCATGGCCAGTTGTTAGACCGATCCGGGCCTACCATAACCGAATCCATCGGATGATCATGATACATCCCTGCTTATAATTAACGTACAAAACATTGGCCTAGAGAACATAGATTTAATTAAAGACCAAACTCAAACTAAACTGTAAAAGAAAATACTAGAACATTTGGACCGGGGAAAACGGCCAAAATCAATCCAAATATTTTCATGCGACTTTTTTCAACCCAAACTCTGATCCCCTACACTTATCAATCCGAATCCACATAAATTTCAATTTCAAATAACATGGATCTACCATTACTGAGTCAGACTGAATCTGTTTATAACGTATAAAAAATATTGATTTTAAAGAAATAGAAATATATAAACTAAAAAGGAGAAAAGGCTTTCTTGAATTACAAGAAACAGATTAATCCTAGTTTCATAGTCTCAAATCTCTCTCTCTATGTGTACAAGCTAGAGAATTCGTCTTTCTCATCCTCCCAAAAATCTAACCAATCGGTAAAACTAAACCAAATATTTTCAAAAGCAGGTGAACTAGTTTACAAGATATAGTAAACCGGTTTCACACACCGAAACACTTTTACTCACTCCAAAGAATAGTTAGAGACCAAGACATCTGCCGGAGAAGCTGCTGAGTGGATATAGACAAATTCCATGCTTTTGCCTGCCGGTAACGATTGCATCCACGAAGGAAAGGTGAATGAAGTTCCGGTTTTCGTCACACCCCATATTGGACCATAGAGCTTGGTGATTGATATCTTCAAATTTTTCAATGTTTTTGTAGATCTATTATTTAATCTCGTTGAGTATCGATAGTACACCTTTCCCTCGTTCTTCCATGAGTGTGTCATCTTCTGCGATATGGAAATGGGACTAGGAGAAGAAACTGCTAAACAAAATGAATTAAGCAAATTGGTTAAAGTTTTTATACAGAATCGAATTGGTTTTCACGATGAGTTGGTATAAAAATCTAAAAATGACTAACCAGGAGGTGTTGTGGGTTTCTTCTTTGGTACCGGTGCTGGTTTATTGATAACCGGACTTGGAGTCGGACTAACACCTGATATAGGAATTCGGTAAGTAATAACCCGGTTAACCAAGTTGACTAATTGGAAAGTACAGAGACTTTAATTAGTTAACTAAAATATACGGTTAATTATGACTAGAAGCATAAAACTTTTAATTAGCAAGATAATGCGTTAAATCTCACCAGGAAGCAGCTGGTCAAAACCGGTCGAACCGGAAATCAACCGGGCTAGTACACCAAGTAGAGGCGCGTTGTTGTAAGTTGCTGGTTCGGTTTGCTCATAATTGTCCCGTTGGTCAGCGAAGTTATCATAGGCATCAGGTCCACCCACTATAGCTCCGGTTAAAACATTCGGATCGCTTCCTTTTCGGCTAAACCATGTGGCGTAACCACCACGGCAAGTCACGAACTTTTGATCGACATTGAAGGAGACAATAGACGAACCACGATGATGAACTTGTCGTGGATAGTTGTCTCCGTATCCAACCATGTAACTTGTCGCTCTAGGGTTGTCTCCGAGAATGTAATCCACCTGATTAGTTTTAATTAATTGATCAATAATCCAATTTAGACAGGCTATCCATTTCACGATACATTTTCTATTTATAATGGAACATGTTGTGTATGTAGTCTATTTTTCTTTTCATCATTTTGGATCGAAAATATTCTACATATAACTAAGGCTAACTACGCATGGTAACGCGGCTATCTGGATTTGAATTCCAGTAGAGAAAACAGTAAAGTTGGACTTTTAACTACTTGACTAATAGCATTTCCCCAGTGTTGTATTTCAATTTAAACTTCAATTATAATGTTGTTTTGTTTCCCGATTTTGGGGATAAAAATAAATTAAATAAGGAAATTTTGAGATAAACCTGTGATTTTGAGAAATCTAGGAGTTGGGATGGAGAAATGTTTCCTTGAGAACAACGGAGATCTCTTTTGGATGAAGAGAGATAGTCGGAGTAAACAGCAGCTAAGAAAGAGGCACTCGTGACAAACTGCATATTGTTCCAGCTTTGTCGGAAAATCAAACCGCCCGGAGTTTTCTTAATGTTCTTCGTGCTTTTACCTAACAACGAACACATAAACTGTTCTGCTTTCTGTTGATACCTCTCGAACACAGCAGTGTGTTCTCCTCCTTTTCCTTGCATCAAAACCTATTAACCAAATCATTGGTTTAGAAAACCAAATTAAGTATATACCAAAATCAAACCGAGAAAACTTGATTAAGTTGAAATGAATTACCTTAGCGACAAGGGTTTGAACGCCAGCATACTTAACGTCCCAACCAAATTCGGTCATCGACCAGCCCGTACCACCCATAGAGTCGCCGTTCTTGCCGAGGTAATCTAGATAATATTTATCATTGGTTGCTTGCAGGGGCGGATCTACAGCATCATAAGGTGGGGCACGTGCCCCATACTAATTATTAAGAGTTATCAATTGTTCATTACATGTAATAATTTCCTAGCTCAGTTGGCTTTGAGTGCCCCATGCTTCTCTTCAGGAATAGATTTCGATTCTCCTCTTTTCAAATTTTTGGTTTGTTTTTTTAACTATTTCTCATTTCTTTGCCACATCCCACGTTCTTTTTTAGCATCTTCCTGCATTTTTTTTTTAATTGATTCACTGCATTTTCTTTATTCCTTTTAAATAAAACTATGTATGTTCTTTCAATTCCATTGTTATCTTTCTAATTTCAATTTACCTAACAAATTTTAAGACATGTTTGTCTAGTAAAAAAAAAACTAATACCTACATTTTTATTATTATTTTCAGTAAAATTAGTAAATGAATGAAGATTATTAATTTTTTGTAGTTTATTTAATATTTAGAGTCTAAATCCATGTAATATTGTTAATGTAAGATACGTAAATTTAAATTTACTTTAGTTAATATTAAAATGATGTTTTAAAAAATATATTTAATATATAATTAACTATATTTAGAAACTAATAGATATAATATTTTCAAAAATTTTAATATTATCTATATATTATTTGTGCCCCAGGTAGACTATTTTTCTGGATCCGCCACTGGTTGCTTGGTATAACCATGCAGCAGCCCATAATAATTCATCCTGGTTATACAAAATTGCGTTTATAAAAACTCATTTCAAAAAATGTTTTCTTTAGTTACTTAATTTTATAAGAGTTTGCGTTTAGTACATTGTAACCGCTGACGGATCGGTAGTATTTTTGTGCCACGGTAATGCTGCTGTCATATTTGCCTCTGTATTTGTCCGCAAATTCAAATAGCTGCCAACATAAGAATTGCATTAGGATCAGTGGCAAAATCGTAAATATTATTCATATGGAAGGTTATATCTACTATCTACGTTTTGGCACCTTTTAATTCCGATCCTGACCAAAACTGTAACTTCAAAATGTTATTTATAGTTCCTTCTATTGCTTAACGAAACTACAAATAACATTTTGAAGTTAGTTTTGGTTAGGAAAATGTGCTATAATTAAATTCAAACAATGTGCTTAACGAAACTCGATTTCACTAAACCGGAATTTAAACTCGATTTTCATAGTTAATTCTGTTTTGGTTAGGGTTTAGGAACCTGACGGGCGTGACGAAGTAGCTCGGCAGAGTATGATGGATCAGAGCGGCGGAAAACGATGGAAGCCGCAGCCATTGCGGCAGCGGTTTCTCCCGCGAGATCAGAACCAGGATTGTTCCGGTCAATTTTGTAAGCCTTACGATCAGTGGTCATTTCCTCTGGCCTTTGCCAACAATAATGGTCCGACTTACCATCTCCTACCTAAACAGTTACAAAACGTTAACCAAATTCAAATTATGTAAATAATTAGTGTAATTAATAAAGAAAGTGATAACTGATTAGAGTGTTATTATTGTTACCTCTCCATATAGGACGTTAGGTTCAGGGTGGGCTTTAATGAAATAATCAGTTCCCCACTTAACGGCGTCAATTGCATGACCAAGTTCGCCGTTAGATTCCAGCTGGCCACCGTATTCTATGATACTCCAACATATTGTTGTCACCGTGAAAGCCATCGGAAGCCCGAATTTCACATTGTCTCCGGCGTCATAATATCCTCCCACTAGATCCACCTGCTCAATTTTTAAAAATGTAATTAAAATAACCATATTGTAGTATTAATAAATATTCTAAAAGTCAGCTTCTTATGACGTTTAGGTGGCCAAAACCATCCAAACGCTTAGATTTTGATCACATTGATTAAATAATGGGTCAACGGAAAGTCAACACTTTATGGATCTAGACAGCGGTAAATATATTTATAATAATTTTAAAAAGTTATAAAATAAAATAAAATGTAAAATACATATTTAAATTAATGTCTAAATTTTTTTGTGTTAAAAAGGGAAGCTTACACCGCTTGATTTGCCATCGTAAAGACCGGAATGAGATCGCCAAGAAACTCTCTGGTTAGGAGGGAGGTGTCCTGATCTCTGAGCTTCAAAGAAGAGAATGCTTTTGCTTAGAGCTTGTTTATAGTCATGCCCTGAAACTGCAAGTTGAACCAACCCTAGAAGAAGAAGAAGAATGAGAATCGAAATGGTGGTCGTAGAACCCATTACTTATAATATGTAACTTCCTTTTGAAATTATGAAAGAAAGTTGGATCATGTACAATAGAAATGACTCAAAAAGAATAAGTTGGTCTTTCTTGGACTTTGTTAATTTCAATTTATGGATCCTTCATCAAAAGTTTGATAGATTTTTTTTAAATGGAGAAAGAGAGAGGGAGAGAGATAGTTTGGTGAATGAAGTTGAGAAAAAAAGAGAGGTTTATATGGAAGAAGTGGAAGGAAGGTACCAGGAGGAGAGAAAACGGCAGAAATTTATTCAATTTAATTATATAGTTTATGTGTTGGCACGCAAATTTTCAGTTCAAAATTTAGGCTGAAACAATAGCTTTAAGAAAGAAAAAAAAGATTATAATTAATTTTCACGATCTTATAAAGTAGTGGCTCAATCAAGTATTCTATATCAATCTTATTAAATTAACATTAAGAAAAATTTGAACACAAACTAAAATTAAAACATGTACTTGAAGTGTTTTCTTTTTCTTTTAACATCAACATGTTCTTGAAGTTTAAACCTTTGTAAGTCCAACGATCTTCTATACTTGTTACTTTGTCTTTTTTTTTTTTTGTAGGCAGAGGGGTGCAATTTATTAAACTAACAAAATAAAGAATTACATACGAACGTGTCGTGGGAACGCAGTCCCATTAACATCCGCTAAAAGAATCGGATTCACTACATCCGGACAATCATCTAAAAGCAAAAAACCCAAACCTAACGTAAACGCATAGTTCGCTAATCCATCAGCTAGACGATTAGCTTCCCTATACACATGAGTAACCCGGACTAACCAGTCCCTTGAGAAAAAGCATTGGCACAACCGTACCAGGAAAGACAGAGGATAACCATCGCTAACCCCTGACTGAACAAACCCGACCACCAGCTCCGAATCCACTTCTAACTCTACCCGCCTATACCCACGTTCCCAGACTATCACCAATCCATAGTATATGCCCCATAATTCCGCCATCGGGGCTGACTTGTTACTTTGTCTTTTAGTAGTAGACAAAAATTTGAATTATTTTTAAAGAGGAAATAATAGTTGTCCTTCCGTTACGGAAGCTCCGAATCTTCCATGCAATCTAAACAAATGGCATAGAATATCATTACTTTGTTTGTTTTTATACGAAAGCAGAATATAAATATATATACATATATATTTTTAACAGAATATTTTGCTTCATGTTTATTTATTCTTCTGAATCCACTCACCAGAATTCGATAACCTTTTCCGGTAAAAAATATTACATAAAAAGTCTTTCGTTTTTTCTTTTTTTGTGTAAACCACATAAAAAGTTTTAAGTGAAAGATTTCCGGCTAAAGCTTATGTGCTTTATGAATACGCGGCTAGTTATGAATAAAGATGTAATAAGTCGTTAAATTTTCATAGTTTTTTTGTAAATGAACTTATTGTTTGAGTATAAAAGCAGAGGTAGTGTTGATCTAAGTAAAAAATACTAAAAAAAAAAAAAAGTAAATAAATAAGTAGACAATACTAAATTTTTTGTTGTAACACTTTTCTCGATATATATTTAGTAAAAAAAATCGAAGTTCTATTTTTTCAAGATCACAAAATTTTGGACATCTTGTAAATTTGATATCGCTTCAATTTTTGCTATTCTTACTTTTGCAAGTCTGCTTAAATCTTGTGAGCTTCCAAGATAACCGAGACCTTCGTTTTGTGTCTTATCCCCATCAATCAAAAGAATTTTCACATCTTCATTATCAAGCCTTGCGTCCTGTTTCAAGAGTTTGAGATATACATCGGCTTTCTCCATGCACATCTTTACATGCATATTATTGATGATCTCCCCACATAATTTTGCTTACAACATTAAACCATAGTAATGATTAATTAAAACTTGTAACAAGCAACTAAACATATACATTTTTTGTATAACATGTTTTAAATTTTGAAAAGCTGATAAGTATTTCTTTTAAAAGTGAATAATATCACCAATAACTAACACATTATTCTATATAGACATATAAACTAGTTTTTTCTTACACCAAAGAACTTCATATATTATTAAACAGGTTCGAAAAGGTTGGTATCGTGAACCAACCACTCCGAAACATGTGAGCTTACATAGACATATAGACTAAAATAGTAAATGTGCTCTTCTATTTTGTTGTCCTCTTGGACTATATGTTGAGTGTAAAATGTTAAATAAGAAGTTATATCTTAACCAAAACTAAATTTTTAAGCGATATGTAAATTCAAACTCTAAAATTAATGTTTTTATACAATTTTTTCAAAATAATAAGTATGTCAATTTTTTGAGAAATTTGTGTTAAACATGCCGAATAATGAACGTTATACCCTATAAAAATTATATAGAAAACCCAAACGATCAATTATAAAAGGCAAATAAGGAATGTTTTACCTTAAAAGATATAATATAGGAAATTCAAAATGATCTAAAATATCAATTTAGTTTATTATAAAAATTGACATGCCAACAAAAGATAAAATGGTATATAAACCATATTACACATAAATTATTATAGCCATAAGGATTATATGGTTACTTGATGAATTATAATTTTTTGTTTGTTATTCACTGACGATTCCTCATTACTTAATGGAGTTATAAATAGAAAAGTAATGATCTAAAACATCAATTTACTTTTTTTTTTTCTTTTTTCTTTTGTCAATCTATCAATTTCGTTAAAATAATAAAAACAAAATTAGCAACTACACATGAAACTATCGTATTAATTTGTCCAAAAGAAATTCGACGTTGATGTTGATTTCGGTTTAAAAAATATAAATTATGGAAACAAATATCAGAAATTTCTATTTTGAGGCTGTCAAAGAAAAGATCTACTGTATATTGGGGTCATGGTCACATGAACGCATGTGACTACCGACACTGTGAAATTGACCCCTTCGTGCGTGAGAGCCCAACCTCGGTTTCTAAGAAGCGGCCCATTCCATCACGTGGCCTCACGTGATGCTTCACTCAACCTTGAATTTATTTTTATTTTTGACAGCTTTCCAACTTTGAATTAAGAGAAAAAAATTCCAAACATACATCAGAAGTTTCTGACGAGACACTAATCAGTAATCAATTACTATGGAAGTTTCTTTCATACATTCGTAAGTTTATTATCGCACGTTCAACAATAGTTTGGGAATCTTGAGATTATTCTTAGCTGATTTTTTTTTTTGAATGAATATTCTTAGCTGATTTACAGTCACAAAACGAAACAAATATATTTTTAAAAGTATGAAAGTAGTACATAATTGTTTTCTCTTGATTTTCTAATTATTAAAATGAAAAGAAAAATATTATCATAAAAAAAAGACACATCTGTAAAAAATAAACGAATCTTTTTTTTTTTTTTTTTTTTTGTTCACCAAAATAAACGAATCTAATCATATAAACTAGAGCGTAAATGGTTACATGTATAATATGGAACGGAAGATGGACTCATACCGTTTTCAAATTTTAAGAGACGTTCAAATTAGTTTTTCTCTTATAAAGTTCACAATTATACTCTTGATTACACTTATGTTTATCTATGTGGCTTCTACTCTCATTTTCAGTTTACTTACTCTAAAAAGTGAGAAGGATTTCAAGATATTTTGCTCATAACTTTGAACATATTTTGGTGGTATGGTTGGTGTGATAAGATATTTGATTATATCATTGATCAAATTTAAAGATTACATCACTAATACGCATTTTTAATCGGTAGTTCTCGATGATCACCTATGTCTTAGGTTTACTTAATGAAAGCAATGACTTGTTCTTCTCATGCTTTCTTTTATGCATATGAAGTTTTTATAATTAGTTCTCTCTTGAATAGAAATTGAAATATTTCAAATTTGGGCTATAATTCTGGAAATTATGTGTTATTGTGTTATTGAAATAAACGAATAACACTCAACGCTGCAACATCATGTTATCTCTGGCGACCGAGATTATTCAGATGCATTGCATCAGCTGAAGTCTAGATTGTTCAACATTTTGTTAGTACAACCTCAAGATATTGTTTCCAATCCACTCATTCATGCAACGAATACTGTGAGGGGAAAGACATCTCACTTAGAGCAAGTAGAGGATTTCCTTGCCAACTCCAAAAAATGAAACTCTTAATAAGGGTTACATAGATTTTATTTTCTGTTTGTTTTGTTAAAGACTTTTGTTTGTTTGTTTTGCATGAAAGTAACTTCATATTATCTATAAGTAATTAAAATTCTCTTAGAAAAAAAAGTGTTAGTGAAGTAATGTCGTATATCGGAAGTTGGAGAAATAAGTGATATATAAATGGTTAGGGACAATCCACTTATAGCCAATTGGTTTTGAGTTTGAAGACCATGTTAAACCCAATCCATACATGAATAGTAATTACGGACCAAAACTGCACTATTCATTTGCTTTCACCTTTAAATCTAAAAATGATGTGTACCAACACTTGTTCAAAAACTCGGCCTCTGCGGCCGATAAATCGCCGGAATTTCAGTAATCTCGGCCAACAAATCGGATGTGTAAAAAACTAATTTTTGGTTAAATTTAAGTATAAAATCGATTATTTATGACTGGATATGTAAATTTTGAGTATAAATATACTGCAAAACCTTACGAAAAATTGTCAAAACGCAAAAAAACAAATAGGCTAGCGGTGTGGCTGCGCAGCCCAAAAAAAGAAGAAAAAGCGAAAATACCTATTTTACCCTCTATTAAAGTGAAAGGATTAAAATGTAGCTACAAGGATTCGAACCCATCACATGTGACCCGTTTCCTATGACTTAAACTACTACACCACCGAAAGTTTCAACATATATATTATCATACTATGTATATAAATAATGCTATAAGATATAGCCCTAAAACTATTTCCGATTAATCTCCGTATAATCTTCAATTAATTGATTAATCGTTAGGCCCACCTCCACCGTCCGACTAGCGCCTAGCGATTTTTAAAACATGGGTACCAACAAGTAAAAGTAGACTAAAATATGCTTTCTACTCTCTTATGTGCCAACAATTTATAAATATTTACACACAATAAAAATAATACACAAGTGCATTTCTCATTTAAAAAATATCATTTTTAATAAAAAGACAAGAACAAAGTCTTATCGTTTAAGCTATTACCGAATATTTCCATCACTTTGATTCCATCAGTAAAATATTTCTCATTTTAAAAAAAATTGAACAATCTCAAGTTTCTTGCTTGCTTAGCTTTAGTCTTGATGAAACTTGCGAGCTTTGATTTCGACAAATCATGTATAAATTTGCTAGCTTAATTTGTAAAGATTTAATGATTTATTTTTTTTTAACACTAATGAAATTAAATACATTCTTAGATTTGAGTGATATCTAACTCGTTAAACAAATTACAGAAAAAAAAATTCATTAGAAAATATTTTACTCGAGAAGTGTATTTTATTTTTCTACGAACATGTTTTTAATGTGATAATTGTTTAGTGTGGATAAGAGTATCGCTATGATAAATTCAAGCTTGAATTGCAAGCCATGTATTGGAGTCAATATGACAAAACAAGCTTCAATAGACATGTTAATATAGGTTTCGTCTACTTTTCATCAGCAAAGCCAAGTTCACTCTATTTCATCCGACTTTGTTCATTTGCGTTAAGAAAATCTTGATCCACTTAGTGTGGTTCACTCTTTACCAAGCAACCATTTAAAACCTAATAAAACACTTCAACATACTAAACGTTAAAACTTGATGTCTTTCTAATTTAAGCTTGTGCATATACATACTAACATACACTTCAAAATTAGAAAGCCAAGTCTTTTTAGATCACTTGTCTCATTTTTTTGTGGGCCTTTTAGCCCAATTCGTAATGTGAGCATTTTTGTTTTTCTTCTTTGTTCTTCCTCTGTCCCGCCATATAAACATCCACTAATGCACTGCATGACTTACTTAATTTTGACCAGAAACTACATAAATGCCCCCGATATCCATAAAAACTTAAAAAGGAACTCAGTGCTAACAAAGTCGCAATGGACAGAACAAAAAACCAAACTGTTTTGTTGATTTTACTCAAAAAAACATTGATTCATTTTGCTCTCCTCCGGCCACTGGAATATTCTTGCTCCGACTAAATCAATCCTTCTTCTGCCAAATGTGGAACAAAGATTAGACACAAGCAAATAACTCTTCTTTATTTGTGGATATATTAGCTGAATGAAAAATGATAACTTACTTAGCTCATCGAAAGAGATTTTGCTAATGCTTTCACCATATTTGATCAGCCGAATCTTCCCTACAAAAACGCAACAGAATCGTAAATCAGAGACCAACTGATGGTACGGATCAACAATATGAACATACATACCATCACGACGAACGCAAATCTCAGGGATACTCTTCACTTCACTGCTGATGCTATCATTATACACTCTAGTCTCAATATCACCTTCCACATAAACCGATGAGCTGTGTAACAAAGCACCAGAAAAAAAGTTCAGATGAAAATCTACACCTTTCACCTGCTATTTATCAACTGATACCATCATAAATCGAGCGAATAAAGAAGAAACAAAGATTGAAAACAGAGAAAGAGATTGTGAATGTAGAAGATATTATTCAACTTAAGAGTCTCTGTGTTCAACATTCACATTTATATGAGCTGATTATATCTTAACCCAACTTCTAACTAACTAACTAACGGACTTACCACTTAGTTAATCTGAAATTAGAACTCTTAAACTAATACAATTCCTTGTTTAAGATAGTTAAACATGTAATAAAGCTTACTTTTTAGCGAGTTTTTGGACAGCGTAAGAGCCAAGCACTTCGTTATGCACTGCAATTCTATGCCACTGAGCTGGTTTAGGCTGATTGGTTGCTCCAACAAGCCTCTGATCAAACATGCCGCCTGTTCCTACTGTAAATATCGTTACTGTTCGCCCGTTCCTTAAAATCTTCTGTAATGGAGCTTGCCCTACTTTCCCACAAATTATCGCCTGTATGAATCAAAGAAAATCAACAACGATACGAAAGCAAGAATACAGTAAGCCAATCAAAAGAAATGATATTGCAACAAGATAACTCGAGTCATGAATCATGATTCGATCATCGACATCTAATTCCAACCAGGTTTTTGCTATAGAAACAGCAATTGAAGACTTATATAAGCCTACATTGATTCTGATATTCTTTAGCTAAGAATGCTTAACAAGAAGTGTTCAAGATCAAATCATTTACCCTATGAACACCGCGAAATCCCCAACCTTTACGAGGATCAACTCCATGAGGTTGAAGCTCAGGTCTCTCCGAAACGATTTCTTCAAACTCTTCTTCTACACCTTCATCAATCGGACCAGTCGAAAACCACGACTTAGAGCCTCTCTCAGCACTAATTACTACATTCTCAGACACAAGAAGAAACAAATGATAATCAAACACAATTCCTGAGCCAAAAGGCAGATGATTTAGTTGATACGAAAGAAGAATTACCTAAAGGAGATATCGAAGAAGATCTGAGAACCTTGGAGACTCTAATGGCGAGTGAGTTCATTCTGGGACGATTCTGAGGATGTGATGTCTGCAAAAATTCCGGAATTGCAATGATTCATCGAAATTAGGGTTTATATGTCACAGCGATGCAACAATTTTGAAGCAATTACGATTAAATCACGATTAAGCTGAGAAATGCGAAAGCAGGGGTTTTGATGTAAGTGGGAAATGACTTACCAGTGAGTTTTGTGAGAGAGAGAGAAGGTAACACAGAGAGGAAGAAGAAGAAGAAGAAAACGACGTCGAAGAGGTTTGATTCGTTAAACCCTGCGTTGAAGAATTTTAGGGTTTGGGGACAAAACGAAAACGATGTGAACGGGAAACATTTCGGAGGTAGAGGACGACGGCAACCTTAGGTTGTGTTTTTGGTAATTTACCAAATTACCCTTCGTTTTTAACGAATAAAATGATAAGAGTCCTTTACAAATTTTATTTACGAAACAAATTTTATCATAGGGTTTTTCGTTTGGTTTCGGTGATAACCAAAAATTTCGTTTGATTGTATTTCGACCGCAATTTTTCACTGGAACTATGCTCAACGGCGAAAGTCGATATCGGAAAACTTTCGATTACTCATCCTACACGTGTTCTAGCTATGTCCATTTGATGACACGTGGGTTTGGATTGAGTCCAATGTTAAAATTTCTTCTACTCTAAGCGGTCGTTTAATGGACTTTTGTTTGGGCCTTTTTGATTCTAAATCCTGCCCAAGATCTGTCGAGTTCCTATTCGGACAGAGACCAAGCGACTGGAGAATCCAACGCCATGAATCATACCCCGAGCTTGACCCTTGCTGAGAGACCAACTGAGAAACATTGCCCAACAAAGAAACCAACCTACTCATATTGGAGAACAAACGCGTACAAAACACCTCACCACACCATTATGACTCCGCCGTGACCAAAGACGAAGGGATCTAATCTCACCGATGCGAAACTGGTTGTTCTCAAATATGATATTTTAGACTCTCAAATATGATATTTTTGGTCTCTTTTAAATGTTTTTGTAAAATAAATTAGACTCTTAAACTTAAGAAAATTTTAGAAATAAAATTGGGTCATGGTCCCTCTGTCCATCCTATCTGGGCTGGCCTGAAAGGGGTTGGGACCATCGCTCTCAAATAGTCGGTCGCCTTGGTCTGTGGAGGCACTCTTAAGTGATGCGCGAATAAGGCATTGAGAGTGAAGAAAGAGAGAGAAAGAGGTGATGAGGAAGATTGAAAGGAGAATCAATCTTTAAATGTAACTTTTTTTTGTTTGCAAATCTTTAGATGTAAATGTAACTAATGTAATATTATAGTCACTAACAACAGTAATATATCTGTAGTAGTCTGTGACTAAAGACACATTTTCTAGCCATATATATATATATATATATATATATATATATATATTAATTTGAAATAAGTATACTTTGACCCTAAATATTTGTTTATAGTTTAAGTATACACTATGCATCACAGTGTCACATTAGTGTATTCAACTTGACACAACGCGTATGTGGACTTAGTTATGGAAACGAATATCTTATATAATATGAGAAGGTTTTTTTCTAACTTTTCCTACCATTGCGACATTTGGCACTCTCTTTTGGTGACATGTGTCCTCTTTCATTTTATTAATGTTTGTTTTAATTTATTTAAAATCCTTAGTTTTGAAAGTTTGTACCTACAATTTAATTCCAAAAAGATATTTCTCTTATCCTATTGATACATTTGACATGTATTTAAATTGAAATTTGTGTCTAATTTGTTTAGCCAAAATTATTATCTACTTAATCATCACTTATTCATCTGATTCAAAATTATGGATCAGTTAAATTTTAACTTCACAAAATATTAGTACATTTTTAAAACTTCTCATAATATTAGTAAGGTTTTCTTCTAACTTTTCCTACCATTGCGACATTTGGCACTCTCTTTTGGTGACATGTGTCCTCTTTCATTTCATTAATGTTTGTTTTAATTTATTTAAAATCCTTAGTTTTGAAAGTTTGTACCTACAATTTAATTCCAAAAAGATATTTCTCTTATCCTATTGATACATTTGACATGTATTTAAATTGAAATTTGTGTCTAATTTGTTTAGCCAAAATTATTATCTACTTAATCACCACTTATTCATCTGATTCAAAATTATGGATCAGTTAAATTTTAACTTCACAAAATATTAGTACATTTTTAAAACTTCTCATAATATTAGTACATTTGGCATCTATTTTTAAATTTAATTGTTTTCCTCATTTTTCTATCTTACATAATATTTTCATATCTCCATAATATACATTTCTAATCTTTTCTAATTTGTCTCTTTTTTTTTCTTCTTTCCAATCTAACTCTTAAAAAAAAAAAATTATAACACCACTTTATTCTCACATTTTACAACTCCAAGTTGGAGTATTTATTTACAATTTTTATTACACAATACATTTACACAAAATATTAGTACATTTTAAAAACTTCTCATAATATTAGTACATTTGGCATCTATTTTTAAATTTAATTGTTTTCCTCATTTTTCTATCTTACATAATATTTTCATATCTCCATAATATACATTTCTAATCTTTTCTAATTTGTCTCTTTTTTTTTTTCTTCTTTCCAATCTAACTTTTTTAAAAAAAAAATTTATAACACCACTTTATTCTCACATTTTACAACTCCAAGTTGGAGTATTTATTTAGAATTTTTATTACACAATACATTTAATGTATTTATATAGTATAATATAATTTACAGAAATTATTAAATTTAATATGTCATCCCATACAGTAAAACCTCTATAAATTAATACTCTACAAATTAAAAACTTCTCTAAATTAATAAATTCTTTCGGTTCCGAGTTAGGACCAATGTGAAATATGACATAAATCGATAAATTAATAAGATAATAATTTTTTTCCAAGTTGGTCCCAACATTATTAATTTATAGAGGTTTTACTGTATATTGTTTTATAAATGTCTCAGTGAATGAAATTCTAACTTATGTAACAGTCAATGTAATTTTAATAAAGAAATATAGTAACATGCATTAATTATATTAATGTATTGTTCCATGTGTTACGCTTCTCTCAAAATAAATGTTTGCGACGAGTTTTCTTCTCCAGTAACGCTTTTCATGTGGCTTCTAATACCGAAATATATTAGTGTTTTTTTTTGTTCTGGAATTAGTTACCCAAAGTAAAACCCAGAAATGAACTTATTAAAACATATGTAACGTCAAATAACTCTAAATTGATGCATTAGGCTAACAGATAACCACAATAACTCCAATTAATTCAAAACATTAAATCTAATTAATTTTAGAGTGTAAATTAATACTCTAAATATTGACTCCAATTAATCTACTTCTATATATTACCCACATGTGAAGCTAAAAAAACTATTGTAGAGTTTTTGTTTTTCCAGTCCATTCTTTTATTTTTTTATTGACTTTTAGTTGCTTTCTCTTTATTTCAGGCTATCGTCCACATAGTAAAAATATCTACAAAAGTTTTCTCATTTGGTGTTCAAGTTAGGTTTGTGATTTCATATGGTGTTCAAGTTAGGTTCACCAACACCGTTAGTTCTACATAAAAGTGTTCTATTTTTTTAAAGTTCTATTTTTAATTGTTTCTCTATTTTTCAACTCACCAATAAGATTGATATACATACATTGAGAAAATTTATATCTATTATTATGGTCAGTTAAAGTGTAATTATAAATTTAAGTATTTAGATAAATGGCATTACATTATATTTATTAAATTTTTACTCTTATGATCTATATGTATTCATAAATTTGAAAACCATAAGTTTGTTAAAAAAGTTATGATATAAATTGAAAAACCATTTATGTCATTATTCTCAACATCACTTATCAAAAAGTTAAGAGTTTGTTTTCAAATTTATGAATACGTAAAGCTGTTTCAAGATGATTTTGTTCTTGAATACGTAAAACTCATGGGATCATGAGTCATTCTTTATTTGATAGTTTATGCCATTCTTTATTTCTTTTACATAATTACTCAACGTTTGAGAGGGATCGACGTTTGAGTTTCATATAGCTTGAGTAAATAGTTTTTTTTTTATTTTTAATATTGTATAACATTTGACTTGATTATGTTTTGAATTCAATTTTTTTTAGTCAATCATACAAATTAAGTAAGAAATAAAGATCATATGAAAGAATATAACATTTGTATTTATTTTTATCAAAGTTTCCATAAAACCAACCCAATGAAATTCAACCAAAATTTTTAAAAAGTTCCACCAAAGATTTTCTTTTAATCTATCCTCATGGGATTTTTGAAAAGAATTATGTTTGCTAAGGGTAATTGCATAGAATATCATAATTGACTAATTCAGTTAAAACCTAACATGCCATTAAAGTATTTAGATAAACGGCATTACATTATATTTATTAAATTTTTGTACTCTTATGACCTATATATATATATATACAAAGTTTATAAAATGGCATTTTGTTTTTCAAATAATTGAATTTATATATATATATATATATCAAAACTGAACTAAACTTTTTTGATATAAACTTTCAAAGATAAAATTTTTATTACATCATCTGAAGTCATTTTCCTAAATTAAATATGATTATAATTAAGTGTAACATATATATTTGTTTTTTGTGCATAGGCTGATTAAATTTAACTTAGGTTTGGGCCAGACCCATTACAAGAGAAACCAGAGACTGTTTTGACAATGAATCGGCATCTGAGTTCTGCAAACAGGGAATGAAACTAAAAAAAATAACATCAAAGGTAGAAGATAAATTCAGGATATCGAAAAGAATCCCATGAAGCTCCTTGTGTTGAAGCTCTGATTTTAAAGCTTTGACTAGCTGTGTTGAGTCGGAAGCGAGAGAGAGATGTGAAAAACCCAGATTAACTATATAAAATATGTTTTTGCACATTTGGACCACCTTACTATTTTATTAAATTTAATCATTATCACAAATTATTAAAAATTTTCTTTAATTTTTAACATATATAGATAAAATTTAGCAAAAAAATAATAAATATGATTATGTTTTACCTTTGATCTCCTAATTTTATTATGGATTATATGGATATAATATCTAAAGCTTATTGTCGAGGGAAAGTCATGAGATCAGGAAGATCTACCTTCTGATGAGATCCAACGAGGGAAAACGGGCAATATCAACCCTAATTATCAACTCGAACCCAAATAAATTTCAAATAACAAACCTGAACTATGTAATCGTTAGCCAATTTTAACATATACCTGTTATTAAATAATGTAACAAACCTGAATTATTTAACCTTTAGCCAATTGAATAAAATGAATGATTCAGATACAAAAGAACAGATAATTACGAATTAACAATTCTAATCGACATTAACAAATACAAAAAAAAAAAACTGTGTTGAAATTGGATAACGGTTAGATAGTTTAGGTTTGTTTTTTGAAAATTGTATGAGTTCGGGTTGATAAGTGCAGGGGGTCAGAGTTTGGGATGAAAAAACCCGCATAGAAATAGTTGGAGTTGATTTTGACCGTTTTTCCGATCCAAGGATCATGAATCAACAAACAAGAGACTGTACGATGAGGTATGATATATATTTCCACAGTAAAATATTTTATGTAAATTAAGAAAAAGTAGTGGTATATATTTATGTCATACCATCTTGAATAAAAAGAGCAGAATTTATTTTTTAGCAATTCACAAAAGTACTTCGAAAAGGAACATAAAAGTTAATTTTAAAAAACAAATTTCAAAAAACTATATTAATAATGGAACGTATTACTTTAATACAAATTTCATTAGTATTCAGAATTAATATTAATATATAACCCACGCATCGCGTGGGCAGCTTTCTAGTTTTTAATATGTTAAAGCAAAAAATAATCTGCCAAGTCCATTAAGACAAAAATCAATTAATGGCAGTAAAGTTACGTATCAATCATGAGATATGGAATTTTAGATGGAACTTCTTTGTTTAATTTGATGTGTACTTGGACTCTTTGACGATGGACTTGGTCAGCAGAAACCTTTTTTTACGATCTTGTAACAAATTATGAATATATATATATTTATTTATTTTTTTTCCTTCCAAAACCTTTATTAACGTTAAAGATCAACATCATTGTTTACAAAATATATATATATGATAAAATGAGTAAGATACATCATTGTGGAATTTCCTCTACATCCCTTAAATGTTAGAAATTATAGAGTGACAAAATACTGTAGAACTTACTAGTTAGCTCATCCTGATTTTGTTCATTAGTTAAATATATGATAAATGAATAACATAACAGTATTATATATTATACTTTTACCAAAAAATAACTGTATTATACAGTATAACTGAGCTTTGGTATATAATAGTTTGTGTTATAACTGCTATGCTATAATTCATATTTAAATCCAGTAGAATATATGAAGAAGTTGCACACAAACAAAAGAATTTTTTTTTTTTTTTAAACGGTTGTTGTAAAAAAAATAAAGAAAGTGATACAAGAAAAGGTTGTTGCTACAAAAATAGAAATCATGTAATAATACATTTTTGCAAATAAATATTGAAAAGAACCTTAACTACAGTTATTTATATCTTAATTATTATGTAATTATTTAGTGAACCACTGGATTTAAACAACTAATCAACTTGGTTAAACTAACATAAATCCAAATTTGAATTGGTCAGCATTTGACCTATAGTAAACACCACCACTTATATACACTCTGAAACTAAATATTCTCTAATGAAGACCAAAGACTTTCTCAACTTTGAATATTTTTTCCTCTTTATTTTATAGTTTGATAACTTGGTCAAATTTTCAAACACATCTTCACTCAAATCAAATTTTAAAACCTTTAAATTCCAAAAGAACACGCTTGGTTTTAACACATTCTCACCATTCAAATACCAAAAATCTCACATCTTTTTCCTAAGCCTCATGTATGTTCTAAATCTTAACCTTACCATAAAAAGATAATAGCTATCTCCTTTTATAAGCATCACATTTCTTCACCTTCAATGTCAAAAGTTTTTCCAAGAAATTCATAACTACCTCTTCCGGTCACCGTGAAACCGGGGTTTTACCGGCTTTCGAAATCACCCAAGACACTTAAAGTGACCAAATTACCATTTTGGTGAGGTAACTAACATGGAAATGATGAATTGGGAGCACATGAATTTGCTAAACGAGCTTATTCATGGACTAAAAGCGGCAAAGCAGCTTCAGGCTTCGCCTTCGCCATCTTCATGTTTGACGACGGAGATGAAGGAGACTCTCTTACATAACATAGTTTCTTCCTTCGAGAAAGCTATTTTGATGCTAAACGGATCCACCACACAAAACATTCCAATGACGGAGCTTGCGCCGGATCTCCTAGCTCATCCCGGTAGGGTTCCAGAATCTCCAGCATCGATCACCGGAAGTCCGAGAAGCGAAGAGTTTTTCGATGTGGGATCGAAAGATTGCAACCTAAGTTCTAAAAAGAGGTAAAAACAAAATTTTGAACTTATTTTGGGGTTATTTAATAATAAAAGAAAGAAAGTAAAACTTACCAGAATTCAAAATAAATAAAATTTCAGTATTTTTATTTTTGAGGGAAAAAAAATCAGTATTTTTATATTTTAATTAGGAATCTGATATTAATGAAAATTTGTAGGAAGATGTTGCCAAAGTGGACAGAGCAAATAAGAATTAGTCCAGAGAGAGGTTTAGAAGGACCTCATGATGGTGTCTTCAGCTGGAGAAAATATGGCCAAAAAGACATTTTGGGCGCCAAATATCCAAGGTAATAATCAACACAATCATATTTTAAGGATTGTACATTTCGATTATAAGATTGGATATAAGTTCTGATCGAATAGTTTTTAAGGTAAAGTTTAGATTAATTTTATACGATAGTGGATACGGATCGGATAAGGATTTTACACTATCTGAATTTTACTGTACATCGGAAGAGAGTCACATTTAGATATTTCGGTAATATATAATAAAAAAATTTCATTTTATTTTCCAATGGTTATTCACTTAACTTTATACAATTTTTTTTGGTAATTACCCGAAAATGGAAACTCCTAATTATATTTATGAAAATAATCGAGTAATTTGTTGTGTTTTTTGTTGTTGCAGGAGTTATTACAGATGCACATTTCGTAACACACAGTACTGTTGGGCTACAAAACAAGTCCAAAGATCGGACGGTGATCCTACGATCTTTGAAGTAACATACAGAGGAATACACACTTGTTCACAGGGGATCCCACCTCCAGAGAGAAGAGAAACTAAACCAAACCATACAGTAGCTGTAAATTACCAAACTAACCTCCTCGACAATCTCAGGACCAATCTCACCGTACGTACCAACGGACTTGAAGCCGACACTTTCTCATTCCCTGTTACGTCGCCGTTTTACAATTACGAGTCCATCAATGGTGGAACGATTTGTCACGTGGGAAGCTCTACTCCGTCAGATTTCACAGGGTTGATCTCTACTAATACCTCCACTGGAAGTTCTCCAATCTTCGACGTTGATTTCCATTTTGATCCAACGGCTGAGATTAACACAGGCTTCCCGAATTTTTTACACAATTCGATTTAACTATAGTGAGAGACTAGAGAAAAATAAAGATTTTTTAATTTGATATTAATTGTAAAACATTACGAATTCTTAATGTTGAAATCCTAAAATTTTTAAAAAAGCAAAGTATTTTTTTTTTTTTTTTTGCATAAGTAGAGATGTTCAATATGAGGAAACTTGAACATTCTCATTTTTATTTCTCTACGACGACGTCTTGGTCTTATTGTACTCTTCCACTTCTTTCTTATAAGCTTCCATTAACTCAGCAGCTTTGCCATTGTAAACTTGTTTCTCTTCTTCACCAAGTTCCTACAACAAGATTGTACCAAAACCAACTCAATTTGACAATTAAAGATGATAAAATCGTACTCGTTGGATTCGGGTTTTATGATTTATATACCTTCCATTTCAATGAAATGTGGGCAGTAACAGTTGAGTTGTTGATCCCAGGATGCTCTTCTAACACACTCTTTCTCGCGTCTTTGCTGTAAAAAATGTTTTACATAACAGTTATAAGAGATTTGATCTGATTGTTTTGTGGATTCAGGGTTTTAAGTATATATACCAGAAGAGAAAGTATGAAGAAGTAGGCTTTTTGGGTTTGTTAGGATCAACATTCTCGTTCTTCTTCTTGTTCTTGGTCGTCTCTTTCGTCTTCTGCAAGAAATTGTGTTTAGTGACTGGTTTAGCTCAAAATAGCTAAATGCATTGTGAGTTTAGTATAGTAACCTTTATAATATTGTCGGTTTTTTCCTTCTTCTTGAGAAGTTGAAGAGCTTCTTGTTTATGGAGTTTCATGAGTTCTTCTTCTTCTTTCTTCTGGCTCATGGTTTCTTCTTCCTTTGTTCTTTTATATCCTTCCATTTCTTGCAGATATATCTCCTTGTTCTTCTTTGCCATCTATAACAAAAGTTCCAGAATAAGCACACATTACACATACGTTAGAATATCTTTCTTGACTCAACAATGGCAAAGATGAGAGTGTAACCAGACCTGATCATAGGGAGTCTTTTGTTCTTCCGACAAGTTCTTCCACTCTTCTCCAGTCATCTTAGCGACCTATACTCATCATTCATCAACACAACTTAGCTTCAAGAGTTTCAAATGACATTGAGAAAAGACAACTCCGAATTCGTTTACTTACTTCAATAACGCTTTTGTTTTCTCCTTTTAAAGCAGCTCTCCTCTCGTTAGCATAGATCATGTAAGCAGATATTGGATGTTTAGGCTTCAAGGGATCCTTTATCTTCCTACAAAATCAGTTTTATTACTTATCATTCATACCAAATCAGTTCCCAATTGAAATAGTGGCATCAATATCATTACTTGGCCTTTTTCTTGTTGTCTTGTTCAGCTTCCTGAACAAAGTGAAGATACTGATCAAGCAATTCCATAGCAGTTTTCTGCTTCTGCTCATCATCAAGAAGCTTCATAGCTTCCTTCTCGCGCTTCTCCTTCGTAATAACCTGAAGATAAGCTTCCTTATCCGCCTGATACTTCTCCTCATAAGGCTTCTTCTCTTCTGCACTAATCCCCTTCCACTTAGCACCAAGAATATTCGAAGTCTCCTTGAAATCAGCTTCAGGATTCTGCTTCTTCACTTCGTTCCAATTATCCTTACACCACAAAATATACGGTGTTGAAGGTCTCTTTGTTTCGGCACAATCCTTCTTCTTCTTTCCCTTCTTATCTTCTTCAGTTTGTGCCAAAGATTGAGTAAACGCAAATGTCTGTGGAAGCAACATAAATATTCCCAAATCAATCACCAAATAAGCATAGAAAGGATACATAAACGAACATTTGAACATTCAACTTTAACGAAACTTGAAGTAATCCATCGATTTTGCACCAAATTTAACATCTCTATCTTAAGCACAAGTGTAGATCTAAGCCGAAACTTCCATCAATCATCTTGAATCAATTTCACAGAACGAGAACTAGCAACAAGGTCCTTCAATAAACGAATCAACCATCAACAAGCTCCTAAACGCATAAGATTAACCAGATTGTTCAGTCATGGTTCCCAAAAATCATCTCGAATCCTTTTTTCAAAAAAACCTAATCTGCGAAATACAAGTGAAGAAGAATCAGAGCAAGAACTAGAAATTCGTACCATGTTAGGCTTAAATTCCTTCATCTTCTGCAGTTTCTTCAGCTCCATCTTAAGTTTCTCCTGTTCCACATCCTTTGTCTCAAGTTCTTCCTCTTTCTTCTTCAGGATCTCGTCCTTCTCCTTCAACAAATCCTCAGTTTTCTCCTTCTCGATCTTCATCTTCTCCAACATCGCTTGCATCTCCATCAGATCTTTCTCAAACGATTTCGTTTCTTTCCCTTTCCCTGAGACCGGTGACAACAATGGTGATGACTCGACAATCTCATTCTTTTCCTTCAACGCTTTTCTACTATTTCTCGATTTCTTCGCTGGAGCCGGATCTGAAGAAACTGTCGCCATAGTAAAGAGAGATTAAGCGAGAGCGAGAGAGAGAAATGGAGATTTGGGAATTTAGGATTTGAGAAATTAGTGGAGCCTCTGGGTTTATATCAAAAAGAAGCCTGAACGGTCACAAAATTTTGAAATTCAAAACTGTTTCGAGTTTCGACCAAAAGAAAGAAGGCTCAACTTGCCGTTTTAAAAATACAAACAAAGTTTTTGTGTTGTTGTTTTCTTTTAATGGGCCTAAAGTTTGAAGGCCCATTAATACCTTGCCCTAATTTTGACTCACCGTTCGTACTCCTCCTCTCTATAAAATCAAAACCCTAATTCTTTAAATCCCAGTCAGTTTCCATCGCCATCAAAATTTGATCTTCTTCCTCTTCATGGTTTTCGTTTTATATTTTTTTTGTTTTGAGAATGTGGTTTTCGTATAATCAAATCTTCAATACGATCGTTAGAATTGCTAATTCTGATTCATTCGAATTTAACAAAACCTAAGATCCGATTGCTTCTTTTGTCTCCATCGACTAATCATGAAACTTGGAATCTTCGTTTTCAAATCAGATCTGAAGTGTTTTCGATTGAATTTAATGAAATTGATTGGGTTAGAATTGGAATTGCTTCATAATGGTGAACTCTCTTAGATAATAAAGTGAGAGATGTTCAAGTTTCCGGAGCAAATATTAAACTGGCCAGAATTTAACAGCTCTGTGTTTACTTTTACTATTTTCACAGAGTTACCTGTCTTCTGGTATATATTTATTTACATATTTCACTAATTCCATCACCTAATTGTTTTTAATGTTTTTCTAATCAACACTAATCTTAGTTTGATTCTTCTGATCAATGATTTGTTTTGTTGTGTTATTGTATCCCAAGTCATGGAAAAAAAAAAGAGTTGTGTCTATAATCAAAACTTATTAAACGAAAAATAAAGGTCGATTAGGGAAATGAACAATATAAGAATTTTTACCGTATCAAAATTGCCCACCAAACCAACTTACTAAACCGGTTTGGATCAACATTTTATTTCAAGAATACACAAAAACAGATCCAGAAAAATTACATTTTAATGGAATCTCCAACTGCTTTACATAAATTGATCCATAAGAATAGCTTTGGTGAACCGAACCGGTTTTCAATTCATCTTAGGGACTCTCTCTATCCGGTTCATTAGAAAACTTCAGCTGTTAACCAAATCTCTTCAAGTTTATCAATTTACATGACCTATATACCAAACCTGTTTTTAAATTCATCCAGTTTAGCAATTGACTAAGATACAAGTAAACTAGTTACTTCCCGGTTCGACCATTCACTATGATCTCCAATATGACATCGTTCAAGTGATCAATTGGACCAGGCAAGCACCAATGTAGACAATCGTTCTGTACCGTTGCGTTCTTATCCTTATCAAACGGCCTAAACTCTCGGTATGGACCTGGATGCCCGTCGGGTCGAGTCAGCAACATTCCAGCAAAATCAAGAAGCTTAAGATTCCCAGTCTCCGTAACCACTCTCTCGAATTGAACAATCTCAACATCTCTCAAGATCTTGTTCAGAACTTTCATCTCGACCTCCTCCTCACTCACCGGTTCTGTTTTCTTACAAGTACCACCGTTATGCCATTCCCCATCTTCAAAGTGATCTGGTATCGAAGTCCGGAAAAAGATCATGCCTTTAGTTTTAGATTTTGCTATGAAGTCCATAACATGGCGCAGCGACGTATTGTAAGCATAGTCAAATCCTAAATCCGTCATGTTCGAACTTTCCGGGCAGCCATGGCATCCGACGAGAGTAGCATTCTCGTGGTAGACCGCGGTTTTCAGGAACCATTCCCCTGAAGAGATGATTGCATAGTCAAGGCTCGGAAATAGATCAGTCCAAGTATTGTCGAGTTTGTCGAGATGAAGCTGGACTGCAGCTGATGAGACACCATTTGAGTCTTCAAAAATAGCAGCTTGAACAAGAAAAGGTGACCAAATGTTGGATATTGTAAAATTATATAACGGAAAATGCCATCGCTTCGATCTATAGTTCTCATCATGATACACTTCAACCGGTTTTTCAACCTGAAACATGGAAAACAAATAAAACTTGTCAATCACAAATCATAATCTTTTTCAAGTCTGCAAATAGATAGCAAGCAACCGTTAAAAACCTTACTATAGATAGCATACAAAGCAAAGACTCGACATGATTACGGGCAATGGAGTCACCGATTATAGCCCAAGATTTATTCCTCATAAGCTGCAGAAACCTCAGAGGATCAAACCGAGGCAAGGAACAGTCATTAGGCTTCCATTTCCAGTATAGAAAACCCGAATCAGGCCTCCCATTAGTGATGCAATTCTGATGACCGTCTACAACGATACCACACGACCCATTCGTGTATATCGGTCCCAAAGGATCTTTGATCCATTTCCCAGTAAATAGATCACACTTCTCCACCTCAATATCTGATAAACCAAAACAGATTCTTAGCATCACAAACAATTTGACTAAGTTAGAGAAACTAAAGTTCTTCATAGTAAACTTTCTTTAAAAACCCTAGATCTCTTGCGAGAAGACCATATAAAATGCTCTGGTCTCTAGCCTAAGGGCGATGTACGGCACCGGCACTACAGGCCTAGCCCCAGAACCTCTTAGTTATTCAAAAAAAAAAAATCCTAGATCTCAGAACTTTCCCTTAAAACAAGCTTAACCAAATAATACACAGCGAAATCGTAAATGTTTTTTTTTTTTGCTATGATTAAAATCTTACCGACGGGAATTTGATCCTCATTATCCGAGATGATAACAGACGACGGAGAAATCTGGGAATTGGAGTTTCCGTTAACCGACACTTGAACTGGGGAAAATTGGCCGAAGCGGAAGACGAAGAAACGAAAAGCGAGACAAGTTATAAGAGTAGCGGCGACGAGTTTGATGAGAAATGTGTTTTGTTGAAGATTAGAGATTGATTCCCATTTTAGCTTCATCATCTTCTTCCTCTCGCTGGTGATTTGAGGAAGTTTTGAGAGATGTACGATTTTTTTTTTCTTTCTTTTTTATTTTTGTCAGAAAAGTGGAATGTTTTTGATTCCGTACTTATTACTTAAGCGATAAACCTAATGAATAATAAAATCCAAAAAGATTAGTGAGGAATTCATGCTTGTGAGTTGTTGATGTAGTTAATGATATAGAAAGTTAATAAACAAAAGTAAGAGAATCATTAATGAAGATTTAAATCATTAAACAAGTGTTTCCAAAAATATCATAAAACTAATACTGTTTCTGTTACTAATGACTTTTTCTCAAATTTAATTACTAATGACTTTTTCTCAAATTTAATTTTTGCAGCACCACTATGAAACTTTTTTTTTTTTTACTCAATGAAAGTTGTTGTTTTTTCGGTACCAAAAAAAAATTATCCAAACTTGAATTTAACCAGTAAAAATATATATATAAAAGTTGAAAAGATGCAGAAGATATAATAGTTTAAATTCATCTTATTAGACATCATTTACAAACTCTCACTCAACTTTGTCTTTTTCTCTATGCTCCTAAACTTGCTATTAACGTTTATACACTTCTAATGAGTCGGTTTATTCTGACTCGGACCCACTCCAAACATATAGTGTTTCTCTCTTTCTCCTTCATCTCACCAAAGATCTTTCTCAACGACGTACTTTGAAAAGATCCAAAAAACTAAATACATTATGTTTTAAGTTAATTTTGTTTTCTTATGTAGACATATATATTTTTTTAAAACATACATTTTGTGATACACCATACTTGAATCAATTCCTTAGAATTCAGAATCACTAAACACTGCTTACAGGTTACATCACAAGTGGACTTTGTATTAAACTTCCATTATCTTTTCATATCTTGAACTTCAACAAAATTTACATAGCGGAATTTTAGCTTTCTTTGCAGAGAGAAAAAGATTAAACTCATTCTAAGTTAAACTATGTCTCAAATGTCAAAAGGAGTATACTTCCAATTAATAAAACAATGACAAGAGTTTTGGTGCAGTGCTTGAAATTGTTTCCTTGAAATTAAGAATTGCAAAACATTCTCCATGGTACAAAGTACATTATTCTATCTTCAAGTTCAACAAAAAATCACAACATTTTCTCAGCCTAGAACTCCAGAGAGAGACAAGATTATTTTAGTTATGTCGTGTCCAATAATGAACTTAACTCAATGCTTCATAACTATTGAAAATTTCTGCTTATGATAGAGAGGATAATGTTAAAACTTAAAATTATTACTTGCATATTGAAGGCAACCATTTGAGCACCATAAATTGATCCAACGAGAGGATCATAGTTATACGAGTCGAACCGTGTTGTCTTGGGATATATCCTCAAAAGATTCCACTGCGTGAACTTTACTAAATCAGGTCCACGAGTTTTAGCCAAAGTCTCAAGCCACTGCTCACTCATGCTTAACCGTATGTCTCGGTTAGGATCTCCATTCAAGCAGTTCTTCAACCCTCCTTTGTAGTTCCCAGCGTGAATCGAGATGAAGTCTCTGTATTCGATCGCTGCACTCTCCACATCTTTTTTCTTGAACATGTTCTTTTGCATCTGTCACAACACAAAACTCTTAAAAAAAATCAAGACACACTAATGGTTACTTTAACTCTGTTTTTTCTTTCTTACTTTAGCTTTAATGGATTCATCCGTTGTTGAACCTTGAGAGATTTGGGTCTGAAGATACTCTTTTGGTGGCTTTGTTGAGATTAAGATCTTAATCTTAAGTGATTCAGGTGAAGGAAAACACTTTTATTATTCGTCCGTACATTGAAACAATGATCCTCCAAACATCTTACTCACCACCTACAAACATTTTCACCATCAATCAAACTCAGTGTTCTAAAAAAGATTATCACAGTACAATTCAACTGCACCAATCCAAAATGACCAAAACAATGATGTTAATCAAAATCAACAAGAAAATCACAAACACAATTGTTTGGTGCATTGCTTGAGATTGTTTCCTTAAAATTTAGAATTACTAAATAACAATCACAAAGCATGGGTCAATTCATACATCTTTAGCCTTCAATTACAGAGTAGTGTACAATGACCTTAAATTCAATGGCCTACATGCAATGGAATTTCACACGTTGCTATTTAGCTCCATTGATGTTTCTAGCCTACCGACCAATTATTATGTATTTAGTTAAACAGAAGGTGGAAGATACAATTATTATGTATTCCAAAGATTCTTACTGAGGCTATTACAGAGCAATCAAAAGTGGCGACAGATTGGAGCTTTTATCGAATTGACATGAAAAACAAACTCACCAAAACTTAAACACTCGATGAATTTTGGAAATTTATGGACTTAGACGAACTGGACCTAAGGATTGATCGGATCGCCCTTCGTCTTCGTTATCTTGTGAAGAATTCTAAATCGAGAAAAAAAAATTAAGATGTAGGTGAGACCGTGAGAGGACGACTGAAATAAAAAATACAATAAAGCTCACTTCAGAATGAGAATAAGCCCACTTCTGAATACGAAAAGCCCAAGATAATGAAATAAGAAAAATGATGTGGAACTAAAAAGATTCTTACTGGATGAAAATGCTGAGTTGTATTATTTAAAATGTTTTCATTGGACGACGATTTTAATGACGTGTCAACCTGAGAACATCCCAAAAAAGCTGAGGTGTCAGACTTGGAGAGATCCTTATTGTTATTATTGTATTGATACCATCCTAAAAAGTTGCTATCACATTCCTAAGGCAAGCTCAATTTTCTCGATCTCTTGCGCGGGTAAAGTCTTGGTTTCAGTCTCTTTCTCTTCTCTCTCTCCACTAAAAAGTTCTCGAGATGTTAATTTTAGTTTTAGACATTAGTGAGGTAGCTCTATTCGGGCAAATGCTCTCCACCGGCAAGACCACCGACACATATATACTCTCCCTTAGCTTAGATCCACTCTTAGTTTGCCAAAGATCATTTTTTCCGCGGTTCTACTGTTCTCCTCACTCCATCAGATCTCTCTACCGTATCTCATATTCTCACAAGCTCCAACGACTTTGCTCTTGTTTATTCTTAACTGTTAGATTTGAATTTGAAACCACCCTAAGATTTTGTCGGAGGAATGCTACAAAGCCATCCGCTGTCGACCCATCCTCCGGCCCAGAAACATCGCTTCTCTCCCTCAACCATTATGGGCTTCTCTTGATGTGGCCCACGAAGCTTTCCCTCTCGGCCCATTTTAGTTAATTGTGACCCAACTTCAAAATCTGCTAGGCCCAAGTATGTTCTCTCTAACTTTTTTTCTCAACCCAATATCATTGATGCTACGATACATCGATTTGAATGACCGAGGACACCTATCATGTCTTGTGTCGACATTCGTTTTGATGTCAAGATCCATCGACAAGACAAATGTTCTACAAGCATATGGCTTGTGGTCGAAATGGGTTCTTTGTCCGACAAATGTTCTACAAGACTTTTACCAAAAAAAATGTTCTACAAGCATAGATCAGATACATTATCGAATGTATTTGTCATGCCACATTAGCTTGGTTTGTGAAATTAGATTGCAACGTTTCTATATAATGGTATATTAGTTAGCGCATTAGATTTATTTCTATGGATAAAGTGTGCTCACCAAAAATCCAGCTGACAAACTAACTTATCTTCTTATTACTCTCATATTTTATAGAACTCATGTCAAGTAACAGTATAAAATTCACTTCCCTAAAAAAAAAAAGTAGTCAAACATAAATAAATGCAAGAGATATAGTCAAACATAAATTAAAATAAAAAGAAATAGTTAAACATAAATTAAATTCATATACATACATTGTATCAAATTAGGGAAGACAAAATAACCAATTTGAGAAAGATATTTTCTTAAATTTGAAACAAAAGAATTGCTAAAAATGCTTTGTTTCACTCATTTTTCCGGTTTTGCTATTTCACATTCTCTTTCCTGTAAAAATCAAAGGTTTTTTCTTACTTTATCAAAAATTCAGCTAGGTAAACTTGGTTATTTGGTCATGATTTTTGGAATTTGGGGTTACAAATTTTTACTAGAATTTTGTAAATTCAATTCATTTGATGTAATCGTTTTATTAAGGAACTAATTTATCTTTTTATTTGGAATCTTTCTTCACTCTATCAGAGTTAATATCTCCAATATTAAACTATGTTGTATTTATACACGTGTTATACCACTTTTCGATAATATACTTCAACTAAATTTACATTTAATACCTAAACTTTCATTTTTTATGCAAAAACTTACATTAAACATTACAATTTAAAATAACGTTAATTTTTGCTGCTAACGTGAACGCTACGTATAAAACGGTTAAAACAGAAAATTTAGAAATGTAGACATTGCATCATCACAAATGTTTGAATTAATTTTTTTCTAAAAAAGGTTTGGACTAAATTAGCTTAAGATTAAACAATTAATTAATTTGAACAATATTAATTAAATGCAAAACAAACACTATCATCTTCCATTACGGAATCAACCAACATATAAGGCTTTGCTTCTTCTTCTTCTTCTTCTTCCCTCTTCAGGTTCTTCAACTTCGCAATCCTGTCTCTGGTAAGATTTTCTCGAGAAAATTCCATTTCTTTCTCTTTGATTCTCTTTACATTGTTGAATGCTTGAAAAGGAATCTGAGTTTTAACTACACTCTCTTCCCTATTACTCACCATTTCACTCTGAATCCTCTGAAACCCATTTCGATTTCCACAATCTGAGCTCATAAATCTGGTTTGATTCTCATCTTTGTTGCATTTTAGTCATAAAGAGAACATAAAGCTAGGATTTTTAGGGTTTTTGGAGAATTTTTGATTAAGTTTGAGTTTGGTATAATCTGGTAGAAATTGGTTGATGTTGTTTCAGGTTAGGGTTTAGGACAAATCAGAGAAGATGTTTGATCTAGAGAAACCAATGACATTGGAGCATGAAATCCTCAAGGAGAATTATGATACTCTGTCGAAAGATTATGAAAGTCTTCAAGAAAGGATTCAGCATGCTGAGGAAGCTTATGAGGCTATTAAGTTGCATAATGAGAACAAAGCTAAGGAGCTTGAAGTGAGTAACAAACGTTTGCTTGAGGATTGTGTGAGAGAGAGAAGCGAGAAGGCGAAGGTTATGAAGACTTTTGAGGAGATGAAGAAGACAATGGAGAGTGAGAAGAATGCTATGGTTGATGAGTTGATGTTGAAGAATCAGGAGCTTTTGTTGGTGAAAAAGAAGGAGGAAGAAGAGTTGGTGAAAATGGAGAGTAAGTATGTTGAATTAGCTGAGAAGTTTGATGTTGTTGAAAAGGAATGTGCTTACTTGAAGTCGCTCTATGATGCGGAAGTGGTAGCTTCGGGTACTGCAAGTGCTGTACTCTCAGGGAATGGAGAGACTGATAAGCTCATTGGTCAAGGAGAGAACGAGGTGAATCATAACGCAAACAACGCTGTGACAGGTATACATAGGCATTCTCTGTACCCAAGTGTTGTTTAGTTCTTGATCTTAAAATGACATTTCTTTTGAATCTCTCTTTGTGTGTAGATGCGATAATGATAAGTGATGATAGCGATGCTGAACCTGATAGGCATCCTCCAATTGAGAGTAACATAAGCTCTCATCGGTCTGTTGATAGAAACCAAGAAGAAGAAGGCAGGAACAGAGCAAACTCAGCAAATGAGAACCGAGCTTCGGGAGAAACCATTACCCCGGTATCTGTTAAACATCCACCGCCTTTTTCTACTTCACCATCGTCATCATCATCATCATCATCTTCAGATGGCTATGAAGTTGTGGTTAAGCTGCCTCGTAATTGGCCTGACTGGGCAATCCCGAAAGGTCCGGGGAGCGGTTCCAACAAGCCTTAGAACATTTCAGATGAAGAGAACACATAGCCAGAAGAAGTATAATTTGAAGCTGCACTCTTAAGTTAAGCTAGTTATGGAAATCTTCTTACATATGTGTATATCTCTTATTGCTTTCCGTTTTATCAGGATTTTTTATAATCTCTTTTGAGAAACTAGAACAAACTATTTTATCTACTATCAAACCATTTCAAAATTAATTTTCGAATCATCGCATTTGCATAATCATCCATTTACGAGGTTTAGTTCCGGGAAGTGCTGGAGGAGCTCTGGAAGATGGGCATTGGCGAGTTTGGTTCTCTTGGTGATCTGTTGTTTGGCATGCCATGGATCTGTGCAACAGCTCTTCTCTGTGCAGTGTTCATCACACAAGCTTCAAACCAACTTCTGCAGCTCCTTCTCCACGCCAAGCATGTCGCTTAGGATGTCTATGTCGCGGTATAGAGGGCATTGTGTAAACCTGAATCTGACCTTTGAAATCATATGGCTACACAATGCCCTCTTGTGAATTAGCACATTCGACAGTCCTGAAACTTATAGAGCCTGCAGAAATGAAAGACAATCCTGAAAAATGGATAATCATAAGACCACAAAAAGTCTTTTGACACCATTTAAGATTAGGAGCCAGTACTATTAGATTCGAAATTTACATAAATGTGGCAATAAATATTATCAGAATCTAATTGATTATGAAGTTAATTAATACATCTTAAATAGAATTAAGCGTTTTTTCCTTCTAAATCACATGTGAAATTTCTTTATGTCACGTTTTTATTTGAGTAAAACGATATCTTTTGAGTTAATAAGCAAATAATTTGCATGTAAAGCTCTCAACATTCAAATAAATTGAAATGTAATAAGTAGTGATTTCTAATAGAAATAGTACAAATCTCAAAGTATTAGGACATTTATGTAAATATTGTTAAACTAAAGGAACCAATTTGCAGACACAAATCACTGTAGTTATTTTTTTAAAAACAATTTCTTGAGTTTATCAAAAAATAATATATATGTTCCTTCCTAGCAAGTATGTAGGTTCATTTTTTAACGATTTTTTTTGGTAAGAGTATGTTATTTTTAAAAATTCGCTAAAGATAGATAAGATTCGAAAATTACATAAATGTGTCAATAAACATTATCAGAATCTAATTGATTATGAAGTTAATACATCTTAAATAGAGAATTAAGCGTTTTTATCTAAAATCACATGTGAAATTTCTTTATGTCACGTTTTTATTTGTGTAAAACGATCTCTTTGACTTAATTTGCATCTAAAGCTCTCAACATTCTGATTAATTGCAATGTAAATAGTTTAAATCTCAAAGTATTAGGACATTTATGTAAACATTGTTAAACTTAAGGGACCAATATGGAAAAACAAATCACTGTAGTTAATTTTTATTATTATCTTGAGTTTATCGTCTATCGTGTTCGAATTCTCTGTCGCTTACTTAAAAACAGTCAAATTCATTTCCTGCCTTGTAAAAGATTTTTAATCGAAAATCGACGTTTTTTGAAACTCAAATTATTGTCGTTTTGTTCTCAGATTTCTTCTGCTCTCTTCTTCTTCTTCTTCTTCTTCCACCGCTTCTGTTGCTTATCTTCTTCTTCTTCCTTCGATTGTTGATTACGTCGGTGGATCTTTGTTCTTTCTTCGTTGTTGTTTTTTCATTGTCAATGATTGGCTTCTCGCGATTCGATTTTTCCGGCTCGTGTTCTTAATTTTCTCTTGAGGTAGAAGATTTAAACTCTTGCTCTGATAAACATTGTTTGATGATGAATTTAGAAAGTTTCCACACTTTGTTTACCTAATTTGGGATGTTTCTGGGATCGTCAATTTTTCAATTTCTGGTGATTTTGTTACAATTTTTGATTTATGTTAGAAATGGAATTGTGTGAATATCAATATTGTTTCTAGATTTAGCCCTAGACGATTTTTCTTGTATGGATTTTTGATTTTGTGTTTCCTATGATACAGGAAATGATGGATGAGGGATCAGTAGGGGATGTGAGTAGGATTGATGAAGCTGATGTTGCTCATCTTCAATTCAAGAATAGTGAGCAGTCGTTTAAACCGGAGAATTGTGAAGTCCGGGAAGTAAAAGAAGTGCAGGTTCAGATAGAAGCCGGTTCTCCTGATTGTTCGTATGGTGTAATAGCAGAGTTTTTAGATGGTAAGAATGGTGATCCTGTGGACCAAATAGGAAATGAACCATGTTCTAACCGGGAGAATGCGGGCGATGTTGTCGAAGAGTTGACTGTTAAAACTTGTGAGGGGTCGAGCATGGCTATAGTTGGTAGACCAAGTAGTAGAGCTAGGTTAGAGATGAATCGCAGTCAGTTTCTGCATTGTTTTCCGCTAGATGGTGATTTACCTGGTAGTAGTTCTATGAGTAAGAAGGAAATTGACAGGGGAACAAAAAGTATCTTGAGAAATGCAGGCAAAATGTCTTTGCCTGAGACTTCAACTGGACAACTGGCTATTGTTACTGTTAATGGAGAAGCTAATGAGCTTTTGAAAAATGTTGAACGAAATCCTGTACCTGTAGAGGCATTGTCCCATGAAGGCATTAAGACAAAGATGTTATCACAGTCTGGGTTTTCTCAGTTTTTTGTTAGAAAAACATTAAAAGGCAAGGGAGTCACATTCAGAGGCCCGCCACACAATATATCTAAAGCTAGCAATATGGATCAGCAAACTGTAGCTAGTTCTGGTAGCGCTTTGGTAATAGCTAATACTTCAGCAAAGATTTCTAGCAGCATCCCTTTGGCGGCTTATGATGGTTTGCCTTGCTTGCCTTCCAACGCCAGTAAACCATCTTCTTGTGCGAACCCTTCAGATATACATAGAGGTTGTGGAGGTGAAGGTTTAAGTCTGAGAGAATGGTTGAAGTCGGAGCGGCAGGAAGTTATTAAAGCAGAATGTATGTATATCTTTAGGCAGATCGTGGATCATGTTGATTGTTCTCATTCTCAAGGAGTTGTTTTATGTGACCTACGACCATCTTCATTCAAAATTTTCAAGGAAAATGCAGTCAAGTATGTGGGTTCAGGTTCTCAACGAGAGTCTTTTGACAGCAACATGAACAAAGAGACTTTTAGTCAACTCGAAAACCCTCTGGTTAGAAGGCGGTTAGGAGATACTTCTAGTCCCTCTATCCCTGCAAAGAAGCAGAAATCAAGTGGACCAAGCTCTAGACAGTGGCCTATGTTTCAACGAGCTGGTGGCGTCAATATCCAAACTGAAAATGGTGATGGCGCAATACAGGAGTTTCATTTCAGATCTAGTCAACCTCATTGTAGTACAGCTGCCCGTCCTTTTACTTCAGTGAGTGAGCAGTTAGAAGAGAAATGGTATGCGAGCCCTGAGGAGCTGAGGGGTGACATGCGTTCAGCCTCTTCAAACATCTATAGTTTGGGTATTCTTCTTTATGAGGTATGATATCTTAATTTTAGCTTTTGGCCTGCAATTGTAGATATGTACATTCATGAGTTGAAATGTGAAACCGCGTAACCCTTACTTTTGACATACATATATATGTTTTCCCATGGGATAATTCTCTTTAACTAATGTAGCTTTGTAAACTGGGCCATAGCATGTGTAGGTCATGTTTGGTTTCTCTGGTCTTACACTATATATTAATCATAAAATTTTGGTATACGTGTTACGGTTCCAGATAGATTTAGATAGTGTAGCATGCTTGTTAATGTGATGCTAACAGTGAAGTTTCTCGTTGACGGTACAGTTGGCTGCATGGCTCTTAGGTTTATGTATTTCTTGATTTGACTGTTCCTTGGTCAAAACATAGCATCTCATTGATATACTAATTTGGGTTTTTCCCTCAGTTGCTTAGTCAATTTCAGTGTGAAAGAGCTCGCGAGGCTGCAATGTCTGATATTCGACACCGAATTCTTCCTCCCAAATTTCTGTCGGAGAATCCAAAGGAAGCTGGGTTTTGTCTATGGTTACTTCATCCAGAATCTTCATGCCGACCATCAACCAGGCAATGCAAACTCTTTAGCTACAATAATTTTCAAATGATAGAAAGCATGTTATCGAACTTTTGTATGCTTGTTTCTGTTGATGGTTTAGGGCTGTAAATCCCTAGTGGGGCTATTGGAAGATAATCTTGTTATATATCAGGAAATGTACATATGCACCAAATGTGGAGGTTTTGTTCTCCTTGCTGTAAACGAGAGGAACAACTATTTCAGATAGGATTGTTAGGTTCTACTCTGAAAAATATTTAGTCTTTGTAGTGACTGAGCTCCCCTTATGTGTTGATAAGTCTCCTTCCTGTCATGTTTTATCTGTCGAGATTGTGAGTTGGCTTAATCCCTAAATAAGTTTGATGTTGTTCTGTATCAGGGACATCTTACAGTCTGAAGTAGTTAATGGAATCCCGGATTTGTATGCTGAAGGCTTATCTTTATCCATTGAGCAAGAGGACACAGAGTCTGAAGTGTTGCAGCATTTCCTTATCTTGTCCCAAGAGAAAAGGCAGAAGCATGCTGGAAAGTTGATGGAAGAAATTGCGTCCGTGGAAGCAGATATCGAAGAAATTGTCAAGAGACGTTGTGCCGTAGGGCCTCTATCTCTGGAAGAAGCTTCTAGCTCATCTCCTGCTTCTAGTGTACCTGAAATGAGACTGATCAGGAACATTAATCAGCTTGAAAGCACTTATTTCGCAGCAAGGATAGATGCCCATCTCCCTGAAGCACGTTATAGGTTACGCCCGGATAGAGATCTGCTAAGAAATCGTGATAATACTGTAGCAGAAGTAGAAAACAGTGAGACTTGGAGCTCAGATGATCGTGTTGGAGCGTTCTTTGATGGGTTATGCAAATATGCTCGATATAGTAAGTTTGAAACTCGGGGTGTGCTGAGGACCAGTGAGTTGAACAGCACTTCAAATGTGATTTGTTCTCTGGGTTTCGATCGGGACGAGGATTATTTTGCCACCGCTGGTGTGTCAAAGAAAATTAAGATATATGAGTTCAATTCCCTTTTCAACGAATCTGTTGACATTCACTATCCAGCCGTAGAGATGCCAAATAGATCAAAGCTTAGTGGCGTTTGCTGGAACAACTACATTAGGAACTACCTAGCTTCCTCTGATTATGATGGTATTGTCAAGGTATTTGAACCTTTGAAGTTTTATTTAGATTGTTTATCATGATTACCCCTTTATTTCCTTCGGTCTAATGAATACAAATGTATTATGATGAATCCAGTTATGGGATGTGACAACAGGACAGGCCATTTCACATTTCATAGAGCACGAGAAGAGGGCTTGGTCTGTTGACTTCTCTGAAGCTTGTCCGACAAAATTAGCCAGTGGAAGCGATGATTGTTCTGTGAAGCTATGGAACATCAATGAGGCATGCTCTTCTATACCTTTTACAAGCATATGCACATTATGCTGGATATCACAGTTTTAATAGCTACCCGTACTGAGATATCTGGCATATATACGCACGAATAAGCACTTTGGATTATTCTGTCAATGTTGTTATACTCGTATTTCAGCCTTGTAGCTAATAGACAATCTGCTTGCATGACTGTGCAGAGGAATTGCTTAGGAACAATCAGGAACATTGCAAACGTTTGTTGTGTGCAATTTTCTCCACAGTCCTCTCATTTGCTAGCCTTTGGATCATCAGATTTCAGAACCTACTGCTACGATCTACGGAATTTAAGAACTCCTTGGTGCATACTGTCAGGACACAACAAAGCAGTTAGCTACGCGAAATTCTTGGATAATGAAACCCTTGTCACAGCATCAACTGATAACACGTTAAAGCTTTGGGATCTTAAGAAAACCACTCACGGTGGCCTCTCCACAAATGCTTGCAGCTTAACTTTTGGCGGCCATACAAATGAGAAGGTAGCTAATGCTGAAACTCAAGTTTGAAATAACCCTGATAATATTTCTCCTTTTTCGTCGTGGTTGATTTGTCTTTTCCTGCCTTTTTCTTCAGAACTTTGTTGGGTTGTCTACTTCTGATGGATATATAGCATGTGGCTCTGAGACAAATGAGGTATGCCCCTACAAACTTGGGAACACATTGATATTCCTATAGAGCTTTGTGTTCCAAATCTCCCTTTTTATTATCCAGCATTGCCACAGATTGAAAGTTTTATTCTCAATATAACTAGTAGCTCCAGTGTTTACTTATTCCCGATGGAAAAATTCACAGTTCCATGTGAATTCCATCTATCTCTATGCGATGGAGGAACTAATCCATTGCTAAACAATAGTAAAGTAACTGGCGCAGAGTCAAAAAAAGGACTGATGATAAAAAAAAAACCTTGACAAATGAAAATAATCTCGTACTATTGTTCGTTTAGTGATCTCTCTGATTGAGAAATATGCTGTTTTTTTTTTTGCTCAGGTTTATGCCTATCATCGGTCTCTTCCTATGCCTATTACCTCGTACAAGTTTGGTTCTATTGATCCTATATCAGGTAAGGAGATAGAGGAGGACAACAACCTATTTGTTTCAAGCGTTTGCTGGAGAAAAAGATCGAATATGGTTGTTTCAGCTAGCTCAAATGGGTCTATCAAAGTTCTACAGTTGGTCTGAAATAAATATACATATACACAAGAAGCTGAGGTAATTCCACACCTAGAGCCTTCTTGGTTTACGGTGAAACAAAAACAAAAACCCCATCAATCCAAGACTGACAAAACAGTTGAGATAAAACAAAAACAAGCTTTCAAGTTTTATCTATTTTTCTGCTGGAGTTTTCCTCAAATGGGGTGAAGGAATGAGAGAGTAGAACTATACTTGTTCGATAGTTGCGTTTGCAGGTTCGGTTTGATCAGCGTTTAGGGTTTATACCGCTGATGGGTATACATAGTAAGGTAAAAGACCTTCCTTCTCTTGGTGGTGTTCTAAGGTTTTTCATTTTTTATTTTTTATTTTGGCTCCTAAAATAAGTAAGATTCCTCTTTGTGATGTGTAAATTTGCTCCTATAGTTCTAAGGTAAAAGACCATACTCTGATGTATATATAGTTTATTATGAGCTTTTAGTTCACTTCTACGGATGAATCTCCACCAAGAAAAGAAAAATCTTCGTTTTTCTTTTTATATAAATTATCTTTATTTTTATTTTTTTGGTTATCAAAATATATTTGTTTTGGGCTTTTGGCTCTTCTTGACTCTTGTTATTGTCGTCCCTTGCTAACGAGTTGAAATGCACGGTTTGTTGTTGACAAAAGTAATCTTGATATGCTTATAGTTGTACATCGTTTAGGACTGAATAAGCATAATAATGTTATTAAGTTATCTTGCTCGCTGAAGCTGCTCCATCTTGGTTACGGTCTTCGCTTGGTATAGAAAACTTTGTAACTTTCTGAGAGAAACAAAAGAAGATGAATCAGAGCAACGGTTAAACAAAATTACAGAGCCAATGAATAACTATGAACCATTCCCATAAGATTCAAATTTGATAATTTAAGGCATTGCTCAATCCAAGATCAAGCAGTCTCACATCTATGAGAAAGACTCAAGAATCACAAAGACGAATTCATAGTGAACTAGTGAAGCATGCCTCTCTCTCTCTCTCTCTATATATTTATCTATCATTACTAATCACTTTGACTGCAAGCAAAATTCTTATCCAAAAGCTAAGACAACAACATATCATCAAACACACCCTACAAAATTCTCAGCTTAAATTTAAAGAAAACTGACATTTTTCCAGAACAATTCATTTCTAGGGATTATATAGAAAATATACTCAAATGGAAAATTCAGAATCCAAAATCACAATTCACCATAAATTTTTAAAAATGGTTCAAAATCGGAATTTCGGAAATGTTGGGGAAAAAAATAACAAACCTTTGAGAGAACACATTCTCTGAGAGATTGTAGTAGAAGTACACATTTCTCTTGATCAAATTTCGACTCCGAAACGCAGTTGAGAAGATTCACAGCTTCTTGACCGCAAATTGGTTGGGGAAGCTTTTTCTCCATTCTCATAAACCAAAAGTAAGGGTTTCTGCAAAAACAACCAAACAACCAGACCAGACTATTAGCAAGTCTTAATGGGCCACTAATGGGCCCAAAGTCATAAACTTAAACCCTTCTTACAATTTCAGTCGTCTTTTACAAAAAAACCATCACCGTCGTTATCACAGTAACCAAACAACTCTTCATCGCCGGGTAAGCTCCATTTCCAAGCTATTTCGATCTCGTTTCATGTCGATCTATTTCTTCTAGTCAAGTTTACTCTTTTCTTGTAGGGTTTTTTTTTTGCGTTTGATTCTTCTCTCAAAGTTCTGAATTTGATTTTCTTTTTGTTTCTTAATGATCTAAAGGAAGGATTTTTATGTTTTTGGATGCAGAGACTGATTAACATATAAGAAAATGGCGTTTGCTAGAGCAGTGAGAAGACCAATTGGAGTCTTTTATTATAGTGTTAGTGGTAGATTTAGTTCTGGAAATGAGTTTTCTACTGTTGCAAGCAAATTGGAAATTTTGTCTCAGTACAAAAGCTCTGTTTCGTCTGGTTACACAAGCCCTGTTCGTGGTTTTGGGAGTTTCTTACGGAGTTTTAGTTCGGAGGCTCCTCCTGTATCTGACCAGATGAGTCTTATTAAGCAACTTAGGGAAAGAACTAGTGCTCCTATTAAAGATGTTAAGGCTTCTTTAGTTGAATGTAATTGGGACCTTGGTAAGATTTTGGTTTAGGTTTTTGTGATCAAGGTTCTTTATGTTTTCTTGTGTTTTTTAAAGTGGGTGTTTCTGGGTTTTGACACAGAGGCTGCTCAGAAGGATTTGAGAAAGAGAGGGAAAGTTTTGGCTTCGAAAAAGTCGTCACGGACTGCTGCAGAGGGAATGCTTGCTGTTGCTCAAAATGAGGGGAAAGTTGCTGTTATTGAACTTAATTGTGAGACAGACTTTGTTGCTAGGAATGAGATTTTCCAGTACTTGGTTAGTGCCGCAGCAATTTCACATGGCTTGATTTAGTGTTTTATTTATTGTTCCTTTTCTTCTAAAATTGACACGTGTTGCAGGCTTTAGCTATGGCAAAACATGCTTTGCTTGTTGAAAATAGTTCTCAACAAGTTTCTGGTGTCTTACCCTTTGGGCCTGAGCTTTTTGAGGTCAGTTTTTTTATGTCCTTACTTGTTTCCTTTTCTTGTACTTAACTTTGTGGATCTATGTTGCTTTCTTTGCACTGTCTGGGATATTGATATCCAGTTTTCATTTCTAATCACTCTTATGGATGCTATTTAGGAGTTTAAGCTCAATCTAGATCATCCAAAAGTGAATGGTGAAACAACGGTTTCAAACGCTGTTACAGAAGTAGCTGCGATAATGGGAGAGAATGTAAAATTTAGGAGAGGTTTTTTGATGTCAAAATCTTCAGCAGGCGTCCTTTCTGCATATCTCCACACAAGTCCTCAACCAGGTACAAATTGTTCAATATAGTTCCCATTGTCTCTAATCTCATTTTTATGATATATTTGTGCGCATTTCTAACCTTTTTTTTACGAGAACAGGGTTGGGTCGTATAGCTGGGATTGTATCTCTGGAAGTAGAAGGTGAAAATACTCAACTAGAGGCCATTCAGCGTGTAGGCTCAGAACTGGCTATGCAGGTTGTAGCAGCAAAGCCTCTTTTTCTAAGCAAAGACCTTGTTTCTTCAGAAGCAATAGCAAATGAACGCGAGATTCTAAAGTCTCAGGTTATTATTGTCACTTTAATGTTACGAAACTGAGCTGTAATTCGTAAACAGACATAACCTAAGTCCGAAATGTTTGCTTATCAAATATGGTATATGACAGGCAGAAAGTACAGGCAAGAATCAGATGGCAATAGAGAAGATTGTGGAAGGGCGTCTCCGTAAGTATTTTGAAGAAGTTGCTCTGATGGAGCAAAAGTTTATCCTGAACGATGCTATAAACATTAAGGTATGTGGGTTTAGCTTATCTTATAACACACACCTAGTTTGCGTTTTATTACCTCTGCATCGCTTGTTGAATTGAACTCTTGGGTTCCTCTCCACAGACACTGTTGGATAATTTGTCCAAGGAGGTGGGTTCTCCAGTGAAGGTTACCAATTTTCTGAGAGTCGAGGTTGGGGAAGGAATCGAAAGGTAATAATATTGGGCCATGTCCATCCAGTACGGCTTATCATTGCTGTAAGATTAGTAGCTTATGAATGTGTATATTTTGTTTTTTGAAGGCTTGAAGCATCTAATGAATCTGTTGCTCAAACTGCTTGAAGATAATGAACCAAGGCCATGGTGTTAGATTTACAGACCTCTTTCTTTCTTTGGTTCCTTAGAGTTCATGGCTTCAATGCCCGTCTTGAGATTATAGAATCGTTTTCCCATAATTTTGTTTGTCACACAATATGGCAATAAGAAGATCAATCTTGTGATTGTGCCTTAGAGTTCATGGCTTCAAACACCATGTTTGTGTTCTCCTACTAAGATCATTATACAAAAACCTTCACTTCTGTGTTTGATTTTTAGGTACTCAAGTATTTGAACAAGCAGATAGTGAGTTCTTGGCTCCTGATGTTTTAGCTTCAATTATATGAACAAAACTTATCTTATCACTTACCTTACTCGATCGGTTCTTCCATAATCCCCAAAGAGAACTTGCTCCGGTCACCAACGGTCGAAATTGACGGTTTAATATAATTCAAAGACAAAACCGGTCAACTTTACCGTTTATCCACAATCAACGATCAAGATCAACGAGAGATAATTGTACGGTTCATATCAAACATCTGTATTGAGTTACAGTACACCAGAAAACACTCAATAGAAACACTAAACACTCTTCTTCTTCTACCTTTTGATTTTCGAAAAACGCAAACTTTCTGAAAAAGCAAAACTTTCTGATTCTCTCGAGAATCATTTTACTCTCCACACTCTCTCTGTTCTCTCTTTCTCTTGGGTCAATCATGGTGTCAGAGACGACGACGAACCGATCAACGGTTAAAATCTCAAACGTTCCTCAAACCATAGTCGCCGACGAACTCCTCCGGTTTCTAGAGCTCAACCTCGGCGAAGACACCGTATTCGCTCTCGAAATCCCAACAACTCGCGACAATTGGAAGCCAAGAGACTTCGCTCGAGTACAATTCACTACCCTCGAAGTCAAATCTCGTGCCCAGCTTCTCTCTTCTCAAAGCAAGCTCCTTTTCAAAACCCATTACCTCAGACTCTCTGAAGCTTACGACGATATCATCCCTCGTCCTGTAGATCCAAGGAGAAGACTACACGACATCGTTTTGACTGTTGGGTTTCCTGAGTCTGACGAGAAGAGGTTTTGTGCCCTAGAAAAATGGGATGGTGTGAGGTGTTGGATTTTGGAAGAGAAGAGGAGACTTGAGTTTTGGGTTTGGGAAAATGGTGAATGTTATAAGATTGAAGTTAGGTTTGAGGATATTGTTGAAACTCTTTGTTGTTGTGTTAATGGTGATGCTTCTGAGATTAATGCATATCTTCTGAAGGTAAAAAACGTTTCTTTCCTCTAAATTTGTTACTCATAATGTGTTATGGAGCTTAGATTAGAGACTAGTTTTCACACACTGATGTTAGTTAGATTGCTGCAAAAGTTTATGCATGTATTGGTTCTTTGAATCCTATGTGATAGCTTTATGGCTTGATGAACTTGCATGAGAATTGAGATTGGATTTGATTTTGTATGCTTGTGTTTGATCTTGGTCTCTTCTGATTTTTTTGTTTACATGTTGTTTTATGTTGCAGCTGAAATATGGGCCGAAGGTATTTAAAAGAGTATCAGGACCTCACGTAGCCACAAAGTTTAAGTCTGATCGGTACCGTTTCTGCAAGGAGGATTTTGATTTCAATTGGATTCGGACAACTGATTTCTCTGGTTTGAAATCAATTGGTATATCAACTTGCTTTTGTTTGGAAGTCCACAATGGCTCAACGATGTTGGACGTTTTCTCGGGGTTACCTTACTACAGAGAAGACACTTTGAGTCTAACTTCTGTGGATGGGAAGACCTTTGCCTCTGCATCTCAAATTGTTCCCCTCTTGAATGCTGCCATTCTGGGGTTAGAGTTTCCATATGAGATCCTTTTCCAACTCAATGCGCTTGTTCATGCGCAGAAAATCAGTCTTTTTGCTGCGTCAAATATGGAACTGATCAACATCCTTCGTGGTTTGAGTTTGGAAACCGCATTAGTGGTCCTCAAGAAACTTCACCAGCAAAACTCTATATGTTATGATCCTGTCTCCTTTGTCAAGACTCAGATGCAATCTGTGGTTAAGAAGATAAAGCATTCCCCTGCATCAGCTTATAAAAGATTGACCGAGCAGAACATCATGAGTTGTCAGAGAGCCTACGTTACACCCTCAAAGATTTATCTGTTGGGTCCTGAGCTTGAGACTGCCAATTATGTTGTGAAGAACTTTGCGGAGCATGTATCAGATTTCATGAGAGTTACTTTTGTGGAAGAAGATTGGAGCAAGCTTCCTGCAAATGCTCTTTCTGTGAACTCCAAGGAAGGCTATTTTGTGAAGCCCTTTAGAACCAACATTTATAACAGGGTGTTGTCAATCCTTGGAGAAGGGATCACTGTTGGGCCTAAGAGGTTTGAGTTCCTGGCTTTTTCAGCCAGCCAACTGCGAGGAAATTCGGTCTGGATGTTTGCTTCTAACGAGAAAATAAAAGCGGAAGATATAAGAGAATGGATGGGTTGTTTCCGTAAAATCCGAAGCATTTCTAAATGTGCTGCTAGAATGGGTCAGTTGTTCAGTGCTTCGCGGCAGACACTTAATGTCCGTGCACAAGATGTGGAGCAGATTCCCGACATCGAAGTGACTACTGATGGTGCTGATTACTGCTTCTCGGATGGCATTGGGAAAATTTCACTGGCATTTGCAAAGCAAGTTGCACAGAAGTGTGGATTGAGTCATGTCCCTTCTGCATTTCAAATTCGATATGGTGGCTACAAAGGTGTGATTGCCGTTGACCGCAGTTCCTTCAGAAAGATGTCTCTGCGGGATAGTATGCTTAAATTTGACTCGAACAACAGGATGCTTAATGTTACCAGGTGGACAGAGTCGATGCCTTGCTTCTTAAACCGGGAGATCATTTGCCTTTTGTCGACGCTTGGAATAGAAGATGCAGTGTTTGAGATGATGCAAGCGGTGCATTTATCTATGCTGGGGAATATGCTTGAAGACCGCGATGCAGCACTAAATGTTCTGCAGAAATTGAGCGGAGAAAATTCCAAGAATCTGCTAGTTAAGATGCTGCTTCAAGGATATGCACCGAGTTCAGAACCTTACCTCTCAATGATGCTTCGTGTGCACCACGAGAGCCAGCTTTCTGAACTAAAGAGCAGGTGCAGGATTCTTGTACCGAAAGGACGGATCTTGATCGGTTGCATGGATGAAATGGGTATCCTGGAGTATGGCCACGTGTATGTTCGTGTAACCCTGACTAAAGCGGAACTGAAATCTCGCGAACAGAGCTACTTCCACAAGATTGATGAGGAAACATCTGTGGTGATTGGGAAAGTGGTTGTGACGAAAAACCCGTGTCTTCACCCTGGAGACATCAGAGTTCTTGACGCAATATATGAGGTCAATTTTGAAGAAAAGGGATTTCTCGATTGTATCATTTTTCCTCAGAAAGGAGAAAGGTATAATAAATCAATCCTTTAAAGCTATGCACCAAAGCAGAAACCATAAAATGCTTCTAATTCTTAATCTCAATCTCGGCTTAGTTGATGGTTTGTTTCTCCTTGCTTTTTGTTGACTCCACAGGCCACATCCAAATGAATGTTCGGGTGGTGATCTCGACGGAGACCAGTTTTTTGTTAGCTGGGATGAGAAGCTTATACCGAGCGAAATGGACCCTCCAATGGACTATGCTGGAAGCAGGCCTCGCCTAATGGATCATGACGTCACCTTAGAGGTTAGTTTCTTGAAAAGGCTATGATGATGTGAAAGTTTCCGAATCTTTGGAGCAAAGCTGATTCTCTTTCTTTCACTCTGCTTTGTAGGAAATCCACAAATTTTTTGTGGATTATATGATAAGCGACACGCTTGGGGTGATCTCAACTGCACATTTGGTTCACGCAGACCGTGATCCAGAAAAAGCCCGGAGTCAGAAGTGTCTAGAGTTAGCAAATCTTCACTCTAGGGCTGTTGATTTTGCGAAAACTGGAGCTCCGGCTGAGATGCCTTATGCCTTAAAGCCCAGAGAGTTCCCTGATTTCCTGGAACGGTTTGAGAAACCAACATACATCTCTGAGTCTGTGTTTGGGAAACTATACCGTGCTGTGAGAAGCTCGTTAGCACAGAGAAAGCCAGAAGCTGAGAGCGATGACACGCTAACTTATGATGCGACACTTGAAGAAGCTGGCTTTGAGAGCTTTATAGAGACAGCGAAAGCCCATAGAGACATGTATGCTGAGAAATTGACCTCGTTAATGATATACTACGGAGCTGTCAACGAAGAGGAGATTCTCACAGGCATTTTGAAAACCAAGGAGATGTATCTGGCGAGAGATAACCGGAGGTATGGTGATATGAAGGATAGAATTACGCTGTCCGTGAAAGATTTGCATAAAGAGGCCATTGGATGGTTCGAGAAAAGCTGCGAGGACGAACAACAGAAGAAGAAGCTAGCATCGGCGTGGTACTATGTAACATACAACCCGAGCCATCGCGATGAGAAGTTGACATTCTTGAGTTTCCCATGGATCGTAGGTGACGTTTTACTTGATATAAAAGCTGAAAATGCACAGAGACAGAGCATTGAAGAGCCAACAAGTGGACTTGTATCCATTTGAATTACCCTATCTAACACTTGGTGTAGTATAATTGCTAGCTAAAGACAATTGAGACCAGCAATATAAACGGGGAAATCGGCTAATTCATACCCCACACTTATAATATGTTTGATTCATACCCCGACTATATGACTATGCTAAAACATACACCCATTATAAATATATTCAAATTACATACATGATCTTGTAATTTTGTGCTAATTCATACTTACATGCTAACATTGTTACTGTACCGTGAAATGTCGATGACGTGGCCTCCATGTGGCAACGACGTCGTTTTAGAATGAAACTCGGAACAAAAATTCTCCACATAAAACAGCGTCGTTTCACCATGTAACTACTATTTTAATATTTTAACTTACTTTGAAAATGTAAAATCTAGCTTCGACCAAATGTACTCCGGTCAACGAAACTTCGGGAAATGCATAATCGAGAGGAATATCGGTATTCACTATCACAAAACCGGGACAGTTCGTGTTGAAAGTGTTGTTCACGCGTCTATACATTAAAAATACAACTTGATATCAATTAAATAAGGCAAAAATGATACTATATGAAACAGGGTTTGTAATAACATTTTTTCGTTTTCGATAACAATTAGATACAAACAATGTTTGTAATTTATTTTATGTAAAGTTTTCACGTAAATTGTGGCAGCATTTCACAAATGCATAAAACAAAACGACAAAAAAATATATATAACCTCTTACATGCAAATATGCAAAAAAAAACGGCAACGATTATCTCCATATAGCGTCGGATTCACCTTTAAAAAGTAATTAAAAGACCCCCAAAAAAACAGTACGTATTAACTAGTATTAATTGATATAATTTTTTGGGGAAAATCACGTTTTTAACCCTCGAAGTGTAACAGGGAAGCACTTTAAACCTCGAAAAAATTCTACTAACACTATAAACCACCAAGATTGTTTTACTAACACTTTAAACCTTCAAACTAACTTTTCTGTTTACAAAGCTATAAAAATGATGGAACAATCAATTTATGTTTTTTTAATATATATTTATTTAATTTAATTTAAATTTTCATTAATTTTATTATTTATTACGATTTTGACGACAAATAAAAAAGTAAAAAAAAATTATCAATTTCGACTATTCACCGTCCGAATACAATTTTTCAAAAATCTATAAAAAAACAAAAAAAAAAACTTTATTTTCTTCGTTTACTCACTGTCCGACCATGAAATTTCTTGATAAACTGCTGAAACAATCTTTTAGACTGATCCATAAACATTTTTACTCTCTCCAGTAGATAAATTGAAATCTCATAATACCAACTGAATAAAAAGATGGTGAACACATACAATAAACTGAATAAAAATTTGAAAAATTGTGTTCGGACGGTGAATAGTCGAAGATGATAATTTTTTTTTTACTTTTTTATTTATCGTCAAAATCGTAATAAATAATAAAATTAATTAAAATTTAAATTAAATTAAATAAATATATATTAAACCAACATAAATTGATTGTTCCGTCATTTTTCATGGCTTTGCAAACAGAAAAACTAGTTTGGAGGTTTAAAGTGTTAGTAAAACAATCTTGGTGGTTTATAGTGTTAGTAGAATTCTTTCGAGGTTTAAAGTGCTACCCAGTTACACTTTGAGGGTTTAAAATGTGATTTTCCCTAATTTTTTGTGTAAATACTAATCTATATAAATTAACTTATTTCATAGTTATGGATATTATGTTATATCGTCCAACCAGCCTTGATAAAATCTGAACCGTTGGCTACTTTGATCAAACCGGAAGAGAATTGAAGTTGGTTAACATATGGAGTTTGGTATAATGTGAAATGACCATCTGCTCCTCCTATATGCTTCTTTATCCATTCTGGTCTAACTCTACCTCCTGCATACTATTGAATACCACACTTGTAAAATTTTAAATGTAACTCATAATATAATGTACTATAAAGTATAATAAATTAGGAGAATTTACTCACATGCCACATCTTCTCTATTGAACTATTGAAGACGATGAATGGATTTTTTCTCTATTTGGAGCTTTGTTGTTGCCACATCTTTCAGGAACCATACCAAACATGGTATAACCAGTTTGAAGATTCTGAAAGTAGCTATGGAAATTCCACCAAGCCTGGTGGAGCCTTTCAATAAGGGACTTGACGCCTATGGTGCTATTTTCTACATTAGCTACAAGGACTTTTGCAAGGCTCTGGTTGGTAAGGATGTCGATTGCATTGCTATAGTCAAAAGAATGTTGGATCCGCAATTGGAATCTTAAGACTCGGCGGTCGTACTCAGAGCTCACAAACCATCAAATACCATGGAAGCTGGCTCCTCCTCGTCGATGGATCTAGACTAATGATAAGTTATTTGCTACGTTCAGATTCAAACTGCTCTAATCATTATTTGAGCTTACATGTGAATCATTTTTGGCTCTAGAGATCAAATTAAGGATTGAATCAGATGGATCAATCCCTGAATCAATCATCTTCTCAACCAAACCCTCAGCTTCTTTCGATTTTCGTTCTTTACAAAGAACTTCAATCATATATCTATAGCTAGCAACATTTGGAGGCAACTCTTTCTCTTCCATCTCCCTGAACAACCCCAATGCTCTATAAGAACTACCTTCCTTGCAATACCCGAGAACCATTGTATTGTATATCACCTCGTTTGGTTCAAACTTCTTTTCGACCATCGACTTAAAAAGCCTCGATGCTTCATTCATTCGACCTTTGATGCAAAACCCATGAATCAATACGCTGTAGGTATGAACATCCGGGACTAATCCTAGTTCCTCCATTGATAATCGAAGCTGAATTGCTTTCTCCATGTTATCCATACGAGCGAATGTGTCGATAAGTATCGTGTATGTTACTTTCGACGGTTTAATCCCTCTCTCTTCCATCTCCTTAACCACCTTACCTGCTCCTGAAGTATCCCCTTTCTTACAGAACCCGGAAACTAGAATATTATACGTGACAAGAGACGGAGACAGACCTCTTGACTTCAAATCTCTGCATAAACTCAACGCCTTCCCCAATTTTCCCACACCACAAAACCCATCAATCAAAATGTTATACGTAATCAGATTCGGGTTGATTCCATCGCCTTTCATTTGATCCATAACCTTATTAGCTTCATTCGCCTTCATCTCTCTACATAACCCACCAATCAAAGTATTATAAGTAACAATATTACACGATACTCCTCTCTCACGCATTTCGTCGAACACTTTAAACGCATCTTTTGTTCTTCCATCTTTGCAAAGCTGATTCATCACACAGTTATAAGTATAGAGATTAGGGAAAACACCATCTTCCTGCATCTTCTCATACATCTCAAACCCTTGTTTCTTAATCCCATTTTTGAATAACCCATGAATCAAAACCGTGTAAGTCCACTCATTAGCCACTAATCCGAACTTCCCCATCTCAAAAAACAAATCTTTAGCCTTCTCAATCTCACCTTTCTTGCAACACCCATCAATCAAAGTAGTGTAGATAACAACGTTTGGAGAAAACCCAAACTCTCTTAATTCAACAAGAAGATCAAAACTTTTCTCAATCTCACCAGCTTCACAACAACCTTTGATCACAATCCCAAAGCTATACACATCTAAATCAACTTTGCTTTTGCTCTCGTTGAAGAAACTCCACCATTTATTGAAAGAAGATGACCCAACAACGAAAGTTAAGAGATTGTTGAAGCAATTCGATCCAGGAACAAAACCCTTATCGACCATTTTGTTGAAGTAATAGATTGATGAATCTAGGGATTGAGATTGAACATATGTATTGATGATTACTTCGTAGAGACGAAAATTGAGTTTTGAAATGTCTGATTCTGTCAAATAGTGTAATAGAGAGGACGAAGTGAAGAATTGGGATTGGATTTTTCCGGAGATTACTTGAAGGAGAAGTGATTGAGCGTGAGAGTATAAGTTTCCAGAGAGAAGGAGACGAAGAAGGATTGATATGGATTCGTGTGTGTGTTGCAATCCATGGAAATTTGGAGAATTTAAGAGAGAGAAAGCTTTTAATGGAGGAACCTTGATTAGATTTGCTAGTATAATGAGGGTTTTCTGGGATTTTCCCGCCATGGTAGATTAGATAGGCGTCGAAGAAGAAGAAGAAGCCATAGCTGAGCTTAATTAAGCATCATGAACAGTTAGGATTAAGCTTAGCTTTTATTATTTTAAAAAAGAAAAGCCCATTTATTATGGGCTAGATTAAACGTAAGGCCCATATTTTGTTTAAATGACGGTTCGTTGATGTTAACCCAAAAAACGTGCTATATATATGCTTTTCGAGGCAAACCTGAATATGCAGTGGTAAAGAAAAGCTAAAGCAACAAAGAGAAAATAGATAGGTATTTCCATGAAGAGATCACGAGAAGAATTTCAAGGTGGCCGCAATAACAGATTTGTTGATGAGGTATCGTCTTCTATTCTCAATTCTCTCTGTTTTTTATATCGTACTCTGTTTTTACTTTGCGCTTTCTTCTCTATTTCTCGTGTTTTCTCTGTTGTCTCGTACTCTCGTCTTCGTTTTGTTTCATCCTTTGTTTTGTTTTTTCTTTGGTACAGTAAAACCTCTATAAATTAATACTCGATAAATTAATAACCTCTCTAAATTAATAATTTTTTCCGGTCCCAACTTAGGACCAATGTAAAAAATGACACAAATCGATAAATTAATAAAATAATAACTTTTTTGAAAATTCTATGTAAACATATGGTCCCATCAATATTATAAATTAATAAATATATAAAATTATATATATATTATATGTAAAATATTTTATTGGCATATGACCCTAGTATTTTTTTGTTTTTCTTAAATTTGTATTAATTTTTAGTAGAGTTTAATTTTAATATTTTTACCACCTCGAAAAAAGTTTGTGTTGTTTTTTAAACTTAATAATTGATTTTCTACTTATAATTGGTTTCAGAAAGAAATTTATTATAAGAAAAAACTGCTTTTCAGATATAGCATTTCTTTTAAATTACAAAGTTAGTAAAATCTCTCTATAAATTAATAGTTATTAATTTATCGATAAATTAATATCTCAATAAATTAATAGAATTTTTCGGTCCTGACATTATAAATTTATAGAGGTTTCACTGTAATTGTTTTTTGATAGTTTAAGCCTGATCTTGAAAAGAATTAGGGTTTTAGGGTTTTAAGTTGTTAGCAAATAATCTCTAGATATATTTGGTTTTAAATCTAATTTAAGATTCATTTCACAAAAAGAAAACGTTTCTTTCTTGTCATCTTCTTCTTCAATGTATGATCTCTCTAATTATTATCTCTCAGATATTATTAGTTATGTTTTATCAGACACTAGATTGGGACCCGCCCGATGTGCGGTTTTAAAATAAAATTAAATTTAACAAAAAGTTATATTAAATTTTTATTGTGAATAGAAAATATTTTTAAGAAATAAGAAGATAAATTATTAATTACAGAGAAAATTTGATTATATATTCAACCTTTTGTTTTAATACACTTATTTTCATTTCTATATTTTAAATTTGTTATTGCATTTATTATAATAATCAAGTAAATTACCAAGCACCAAAAGTTTTGCCAAAACATTCATTATTATTATTACTATTATTATTATTATTATTATTATTATTATTATTATTATTATTATTACTATTATTATTATTATTATTATTATTATTATTATTATTATTATTATTATTATTATTATTATTATTATTATTATTATTATTATTATTATTATTATTGTTAAATCTATAAAAACATGGTTTGCAATTTTGCGTAAAATATGATTCCACAACTTCTTCATGAAATATTTCACATATAAACCACATATCAAACCGTCGTTTTATTTACATTTCTTTACAAATTTAATAGTGGAAAACCAAAATATTTTATGGTATTTTTTCGAACATTATACTAATAGTAGTATTTTTGGCAACAAAAAAAAAACTTGAAAGCGTGGTATTTTAAGAAATTTCATAAAAATATATCAAACATCAATAATTGATGATGTATTTATAAAAAAAAGTACTAAATAAATAGGAGCAGTGGTGGTGTTTTTGAAGAAACTATTTTGTTTGGTGAAAAATTAGGAGACATTCTATTTGTTTAGAGACGAGTATAATGTTTCTTTTAAGATTAATAATTATTTGTATAAGTTTCTTAATTATCGTGTTTTATTAATTATTTTTAATTAGTATTTTCCTAAATACTTTTTTCTCATTATTTTTAAGAAAATAGTATATATCTTTTAGAATTAGTACTTAAATTAGAATTAGTAAATAATTTTATAATTTCTATTTTTAGATAATAAGATATACGTATATTTTTCTTATATTATCTTTTTAATATTTGTAAAAATATGTATCTAGTTTCTTTATAATTATCTTCTTTAGATTTTTAGATTTTTAGATTTGTTTGATATAAGATATATACGTATAGTTTTCTTATAATTTTTTAAAAAATAAATAAAAGGAAATTTTTTATCTACACGTGTCAAAATTTTAAAACCATACTTTATATAATAAGATTTTGCTTTAATATTTGGAATGCACAGTTATGATTTATTTTCAATATTTTTTTCAGGTTCCACGTCTAAACTTGCCTCTAACAACGACTCCGGAGCTTATCAACAAGATTGAAACTTACCTCAATAAAAACTACACATGTCCTCATCAAGAGAAACTAAAAGCTATGAATTTCCCAATCTCCATGATCAAAATTGGAACATGGACCCCCGTTGCAATAAACCCTGAAGATATTGTGGCGAAATTCTATTTTGCAAAGAAGAAACTTATATGGGAGTTTCTCTTTGAAGAAGCAGAAACTAATATGCCAAGGCTGAAGAGAAAGATCGAGATTCAATGGAATGATGTCTCATCTTTTGAAGAGAGTATTCATACATGTGATGAAACTGGAATCCTCAATATCGAGGTACTAAACATACTCATGTACATTTTGTAATTAGTTATGAGCCTCGATTAATGAACTTTGAAATGTTTATGTGCAGTTGAGAAAACGTCCAACATTCTTCATAGAGACTAATCCACAGGCAGGAAAACACACTCAATGGAAACAGTTGGATCACGATTTCACCGACAATCAGGCTTCTACTTGCAGGTTTCCTGCTTTAACTTGGATCATTTTTTTTGCTTTGAGTAATGTTGAAAGTGAGTCAAAGCCTTACATTTTCTATTTAACAGGAGACATACAATTCATTTTCCTCCCGGAGTTTTGCAAAAGAACTTGGAGAAGCTTCTGACTAATAGCTTCTGGTCCAAACTCTATAACGTCCCTTTCCCGGTAGAAGAATCTCTTTTCTTCGATATCGGCTTTGAAAACAACAACTCATCTCACAACAGCCACAACCAGACAGTTGGCTTTAATGTCAACTATGGCCTTCAGCATCATCATTATTCTCAAGGTACTTTAGCTTGGACCTTATGCTAATCAATTTTTATTTGAGTGAGAGACTTTAAAGAAAGAAAAAATCATTACTTTGATAGGAATTGGTGGCGTGGGAGTGGGAGAAGGTAACTTTAACATAGCACCGCAGTTCAGGGCTAACGGTGGATGGCAAAGAAACTCATATAGTCAAGCCAATAGTCTGAATTATAACACTGCTAATGAGTTGTTTGGGATGCAAGGTATCCCACCATCGTCTCAGGTGGTTAACGAGCATTATAACATGCAAATGAATTTCACCGGTTCACAATATCGTAATCAGATGAACCAAAACGAGATCCGAAAGATGGAAATCATAAGGGAGATAGGTCAGAGTCAAGCATATGATGTAGGAGCTGATACACAAACTAACAATGTCCCAATGTATCCTCCGGTTGGAACGTTTGCAGCAACATTGATTGAAGAAGAGGAGAGACAGTACAAGGAGCAGACAAATGTTGATGGAAACTATCACATCAAAGAGTACCAGAAAATTCCATACATACGCGGCAGCAACTAGGAAGTGCTTCCTGGTATGGACATAGAAGAAGATTGGTCAACATAATTATTAGGTGTTTTGTTGATATATGGATCAATGATGTATGGTTTCATGACAAGTCACGTTATCGTTTCTTTATCTCTCTCTCACACACACTTTTCTGCAAAATTTTGTACGTCCAAAATCTCCAAACCCTTTTTTAAGAACAAATCTCTTTGAAGTTGTATCTTTTTTTTGTGGGAGTTATTTAAACAACTATCTTCTTATTTTAAAAAATACAATTGTCTTCTTATTGCTAAATATGTACATTTTAGCCTGAACAGGTCTCAGGAGTTAGAAATCTCCAAAAGCAGATTCAACAGGAGTATTAAAAACATGTATTAAAAACATGTACTATACTATACATGGCAAAACTATAATTCAAATCATATATATAAAAGTTGGCCAACTCTCTCCATATGAGTGCCACATCATCACATAAGAAAATGACATGTGTCATTTTGCATTAATTAAATAAAAAAATTAATAAAATTAAGTGCAGAAAAATCAAAAGTCCTCAATTGTATTCAACCTTTCATCAATACCATTTTAATTGATTTCTTCAAATAAACTAAAAAGTAAAAAAATCTTGTCAATATATCAACTACTATTTTTATTATACGCTTCTTATTTTACTAAATTTTTTTATCAATGGTCTTTATTCAATAATGACAAATTTTACAGTTTAAATATTTGCTACCTAATCTCTTCTTAGTTTAATATTTTGCCTTAAACTTTTCTTATTATTATGTTTTGTGGTTCATATGCGAACATATGACCTTCTTTATTTTTATTTTTGTAAATTTTGGTAAGTTAGTAACATTGACAATGACATGCAAGTTTTTTCAAATAATAGATTTTAGAATCGTTATACATACCAAAGAATTCAAAACACGACAATTCTCTCGGATATATGCAAATACAAGGAGAGAGATCTAAAAATGTTGAATTAAATTACACTTTAATTTTTGCTTTCTTTTTCTTATTTTCATATAAAAACTCTTGAGAACTTATTCAATTTATGTCTATCCAGTATTTAGTAATGAGTCTATCACGATGTCGTTGGAGTACTAGATGAGGAGAGTACATAGAACAAGAAATTGTATTTATAATCAAGTTAGGCGAGTTTCAAACCACACATATAACATAATTACATATAATTATATAAAAATATTCTATATTGTTTTTGTATGTAATCATGATGATGACAAATATTAGGATCTTTGAAATATAAATAATCAAATTTATACATAAAAATGTATAAATTGATAGTTCAAGTCAAAAATGAATCTAATCATGAAAATTATAACTACATAAGATGAATTGAATTTTATTAACTACACAATAATAAATAAGAAAGTAAACATAAATTAGCAACAAAAACAATCAACATAAATTTTTCTTACCAATTTTTAAAACAAACCCACGCGTAGCGTGGGTATTCTTCTAGTATTTATAAATAATCATATACGTATTCTCTTAAACACTATTTAGGGGCATTGTCAAACATATGTTGGTGTCATGCCTGGAAAGAGTGTGGGAACAGAAAATCCTCTTATTCTGATCGATGAGATTGATAAGGTAGCTAGCTTGTTGCTTAATAGTATTTGAATTGGCTTTTTGTTTTTTCCATTCAAAACATATTAGCATCGTTTATAAAAACTTAGGTAGCCTCCAGTTACACTTTTGCAATAATTTGTCTGTTCCTTGGCAGCTTGGAAGGTGCCACACTGGCGACCCTGTCAGTGCGTTGTTGGAGGTAATGGATCCAGAGCAAAATGCAAATTTTCTAGATCACTTTCTCAATGTTACTATTGACTTATCAAAGGTTTTTACTCTTTTGCCATGACGGTTTTTCAAGTCTTTGCATTTTTCATTCTTTGTGATCCATCAAGGTTAACTCTGCATTGATATTATTAATCTGCAGTTTTGTGTTTGACGAAAAATCTAAACTAATTTATTGCAGGTTTTATTTGTATGCACTGCAAATGTGATAGAAATGATTTCGGGTCCTCTGCTAGACAGAATGGAGGTGATTGATCTCTCTGGGTATGTTACTGATGAGAAAATGCATATTGCTAGAGACTATTTGGTGAAAACCACATGTAGAGATTGTGGCATTAAGCCTAATTGTTCCCTCACTGACAACCATTGTTCCTCAGTCTCCTGTCATTTCTGATGCCATTTGCTGTTTTTAGCTTACGAGAGATACCATTTCCAGGTTGATGTGAGTGATGCAGCTCTTCTTTCCTTGAGAGAGAATTATTGCAGAGAAGCAGGATTGAGAAGATTTACCGTAAGGTAAGTTACTACAAAGTCACAGCTTTCTTGAATCTCAAACTATTTACTAGAATGCCAAGGAGCAGTTTCTTTAGATGTTACTGACACTAAAGATACTAAATCTTCGGCCAAGACCGATTCGGAAGTTGAGAGAATGAAATTGGCTGATATTATGAAGATACTTGAATCAGCAACTGGGGATTCAACTGGGGATTTTGTAATACGCTTCTACTAATTATGATAATTTTATCTCTGTTTCTCTGAGTACAGAAATCAAAACCCTAATCATTAAACGTTTTGTTGTTAATAACAAACTCCTTTAATCTAACGCCAATCTTCCATCGTCCACCTTCAGCTAACCTCCAAATCTTCAATCATTAATCCATTCAAAAGTAATTAACGCTAAAATGAAAAAAAAAAAAAAAAAAGAAGAGAATAATATATTTGTCACTGTCCATTCTACTCAGTATTGGGGAATCACGACTATAGGGGAGATGTTGAGGTACAATTGAGTCCTATCCTCAGATCTATGGACAGCCGTTGGATTTGCATGAGATCCTTCATCGTTGACGCTGGTATACTAGCCATTACATAGGTTTTACAAGAATGTGATCGATATCATAATATTTTACATGTTTCCTTACATAATCATATATTTTTATGGCTTTCTACTTTTTATCTTTAAATTCGGGCAGAGATCGCGGAGCTCTTCTTTGTCGACACAACTCCTTTTGTAGATGCTTATTTCCTAAATCCACAAGACCAAACTTATGACTGGAGCGGCGTATCACCGCGAGAATAGGTCTATTGTTTAGGTCTATATGCGTATATATGTTGATAAATGAAAGAATAGGTCTATTGTTTGTTTGACAAAACCTTCAAGTAATCCAGTTTATTAAAAAGATGATAAATCTTCTTGTGACAAGTGTCCATATGTATGAAATTGGTTTAAAAAAATGTTCTCATACTCCGAGGTTTAGGTATATATATTGCAAGAATCGTTATTTTTCGATATACATCTTTGAACCGCGGAAAATTTGATCAGAGCATGATGTTACCAATTGCTTGCATTAGAACATCTACTGAATGAGGATATAGCTCTGTAAATCTACGCTAGGTCTGTACTTTTGTGCATCTGGTTTTGACTAGGAGTAATTGGTTTGTCTATAGTTCTTATGCTAGCATTTAAGAAGGAAAGTTGTTATAACAGCATCAAAGATTTACATAAATCTTACGTAAGCAAGATTTCAGTGTTAGTTGGATATAGTTTTTAAAAATATTATTGGCTTTTATAATCCAAAAACTCAATCATATCGGCCAATTAAGTTTTTTTTTAGGATTTTTGTTTCCTTACTAGGTAAACCAATTCTCTCTTTACTGTGTCTTTGTGATCAATGTCAAAAAATATGCTTGATTTGTTTAAATGTTTATCACTTACTAAACTTAAGATATGACCCTTGTTCTAAAAATCGGCCGCCTAGCCGCCTAGGCGGCCGCCTAGGCGCTGATCGGAGGAGCACCGCGGCGATTTTGTCCAAATCGGTGAGAAAAATCGGAGATCCGATTTTTGTCCGCCTGGACCGCCTAGGCGGCCGCCTAACCCGCCTAGACGGCGCCTAGCCCATTTTTTTTTTTTTTTTTTTTTTGTTTTTACTTTTTTTTTTTCATCTAAAATTCAAAACGTCCTACTTATGTTCGTAATTTGTATAAAAATCATAAATTTGAAATTAAAATCCTTTTTTCATGTGTTTAATACAATTTTAAAAACAATATTATATAAATTACTTAATTATAATGGATTAATATGTTTTTAAAATATTAAATAGCCCTAAAACTAATCCCCGATTAATCTCCGTGTAATCCCCGATTTTCTTGCTAGGCGCTAGGCGCACCCTCACCGCCCGACTAGCGCCTAGCGATTTTTTGAACACGGGATATGACAGAGTGAAAATATTTGTGTTTTGAAATTAGAGCAAAAATGTATATCATGTATTCTTGTGCAGGCCTAGATTTTAAGTCTGACTAGCTAGGGTTTTAATTTGATTTATGCTTCTTTAAAGCTCACAAGTCTTATGTCCTTTTTGCATATGGTAAACAAGTGTTAAAACTCTTAAAAACATTTTTTTTATATATTCAGCCCAAAAGAGCAATGGATCATGGGCCTTACAAAGATTTCACGGTTTACATAATCTATTTCTTACATAACATGGTTTTTTTTTGTCACATAACATAACGTGGATTTAATATTAGTATCTTGATTAAAATTCGAAGTCAAACCAAAATCAAACATACCAATTACCAAACGTACGTTACTAGACTAAATGTTATACTTTAGTCTTTTAAAACTAAAAGCCAGACTAAACGGTCTTAGGTGGTCCACATCACTACCACCAACATGGCAACACAATCCCATAAAAATGAATGTCGTGCTCTCTTATGGGCCTTACCATTTGTGTGGGTTTTGCAGCTCTCAAATCACACTTGAAAAAGACGCTCAACTTCAACTAGAACCTTTTTCTCCCTTTTTGGAAATTAACACTGACAATGATAACTTTGATCCAATCTCTATATGATAAGTCACAATGTTACGATAAAATCTTAGTTCGGAGTTCGGACTATAATTTGATTAATGCTGCAAGGTTACTAATACTGAAATAGGTAAGGGAAAAAAAAGTGAAGTAAAAAAAAAAAAAAAGTGAAGTGCATGGGAATGACACGAGAAGTGTACGTTAAGAGTGAAAAGGAGCAATAAATTTTTGGTGAGGATAATATATAAGATTCTATCTATCTATCTATCTATATATCTATCTATAATTCTATATAGTGTATTTATCAAGCACTGCAACATTTCATGAGACCTAACCCTTTATTAAAAAAAGCATTTCATGAGACCTATTATCATCCTAGTCATCCTCTACGTACACTACGCATATCTTGTTTACCATTTAAACATTTATGAATTTTTTGCCCAAAAAACATTTATGAATTTTTTGCCCAAAAAACATTTATGATTTCTATCTCATCATTAGTTATGTATCAGACTATTGTGTTGGTTAAAATAAGCCTGACTCATAATGGCCTGTGCATTTTAACCATGTTTTTAGACAAACTGTGATTTGTTTATAAGAATTATGATTTTTTGGATTGTTTTTTGTTGTGGCTTTTTTCGTAAATGCATTAAAAATACTATAGTATATGCTCTCTATGAAAATAGAAATTGTCAATCGAAAAAGCTGCCCATTATAAGACATGTCACATGTATAGAGACCTAAAACGGAAATAGAAAAAGTTACTATAGAGTTTTTTTTTTTAAATGTTACTATATTGTAGAAGTTTTCCACACATGTACAACTTTTTTAAAGTTCAAATTCATTTTTTGCATAGACACTTGCCAAGATTCGATTCTCCCCCTACACATATTTGCTCCAAATCTAGAACAATTATGGTTGCTATTTGCCAAATAAACCCAATAAAAATTATTTATCATTAACTAACAAAAATAACTAAAGCTTTTCACTGATTCCTCGTCACGTGAGACAACACGTGATTCCAAAAGAAGAAAGAAAAGTAGTAAAGCGTGGAGAGAGAGATTTGCTCAGACAAACTCGTGCGTGTTTGCCTCCACGCCGTTAACATAAACCGACGTTATTTAACGCCAAAAAGTTCACCATTAGTTTTATTTATAAAAAAAAATCATTAATTAAGTTAACAACTTTAATATATATAACAAATCTTCATTAATAAAAAAAAAAATCGCCGATATTTTTATATCCTCGCCATCGCCGGTAACAAAACTTCACTAAACGCCGTTAAACAGTTAACAGAGGATCCGACCCGAATAAATCCCCAATATCTTGAAAATGGTCCTCCACGTGCCAGCTGGAGAATCCAGACCCGAACCCAAACCCGGATCCAAAACTCATATCCGCAAAAAGATTATCTCCGAATAAATCGCCGCCGAAACAATCACTCATCGACGTCGGAAAACCAAAAACGTCGTCGTCCGAGAACAACGGCGTCGAGAAATCCGAGACGTTAAAGGACGGCTCCTCTTTAACCACAATCTCCGCCGTCGAAACGCCGGAAACTTCCTCTTTTACCGCAATCTTCGCCGTAGACTCACCGGAGAACGGAGAGTGGAGGACAGAAACCGGCGAATGAAGACATCCTCCACCACCACTGATAAAACCCGAAGTTTCTTCCACCTCCGTCGAAGCTTCTTCAACATTCTCCGTCACCGGAGGAGGAGAGAAGTTAAGCAGCGCGTTAGGACCACGTAGCTGAATAGCAGCGTTATCGTAAACAATGGCAGCTTCCTCCGCCGTGTCAAAAGTACCTAACCAAACCCTAACCCGTCTACTAGGATCCCTAATCTCCGCCGCCCATTTTCCCCAAGGTCTTTGTCTCACTCCACGAAACTTCCTCGCCGCCGTCGTAACAACCACCGGAGCAGTAGCTACAGTCTTCTTTCTCTTCTTCTTCATCGGCTTTTCTTTATCAGAAACCGATTCAAGAACCACTTCGTTCACGTATTTCTTAACACGACGTCGTTTTCTAGTGATTGCTTCAAAATCTTCTTCTTCTTCGTCGCTTGATGAATCTGTAGCGTAAGGATCAGTAACAGAGATTCTTAAGATTCTTGGTTGTGTTACGATGTTCTTGATTTTTTGCTCCGTGAGAGAAACTTTCTTCTCTGTCTCCATTTTTTTTTATCTCTCACTCTCTTTAAAACTGTTGTAATAGTTTTATGTGTTTCTTTGTTCGTGTGTTTATATATATAAATAAAAGTTAGGAAAAGTAAAAAAAAAAAGGAATAAAGAAAAAAATTGAAAAAAACAAAGAGATTGATGCTTTGTAACAAGAGAGAAAACAAGAAGATTTTCCCGGGAAAGTTGAGAGCTTTTTTGATATATACTTATGGAATCAAGAGTTTGGTGATTTAAGCAAAGGAAGACACTAAAGAAGGAGATGCTTTTTTCTTGTTTAGGGATGAATGTTTTTTTTAAGAAATATTCCTGGGAAAAATTTTTGCAGAGAAAAGAAAAAGAGTGACAAAAAAAGATGAAGATGAAGATAGAGAAAAAGAGAGAAGCAGAGCAAAACATGTAAGTGAAGAAAGAGACTCTGAACGAAACAGAGTCTTTTATAGGATCTTGAAACGGCGGTTGCGGCGTTTTACAATCCTTTTTTTTTGTCATTAAGGGAAACAAAATTATTTTAATGACCATAGAGGGTACGGTTTTAGTCTTACCTTTGACCTTAAAATTTTAATATTACTTTCACAATTTAATAGCAGTAAATTAATGGTGGTTAATAGCTGTAATTAAATTCTTAAAAATCTTCATGCGAATAATCTTTGGAGGGGTTATTGGTTCATTGATTTATAAGGAATTAGAAATCCATACAAAAATCATTTGTTATTCAATCATTGATTTTAAAATCCTAATTAAAATCATGTGTTATTGGTTCTATGATTTATAAATACTAGTTAAAATCATATGTTATTCGTTTAGTCAATTGTTTTTGGATTTGAGAATCCAAATTATGTTTTAAATGGATTTGAATGGAATTGAAAGAGAAAAATAGAAGGATTCAAATCCATGGGTAAACACATGTTATTTCAAAATCCATATATCTTGATTTCATAATTCATAGAAATTTTCAAATTCTATATGGATTTACAAATTAATAAACCAATAACACCCCCTTTGTTTTGTTTTCAATTTTTCATTCAATCACCGGGGTGTTTTGGTCATTTGTTAACCAAGTAAAAACAAATTAGACCGTTGCGGTGTGCAGGTTATTTACTTTTTACTTTTTTTAGCAGTCTCTGGTCTTTTTCTACAGCAGGTTTCTGACGTGGCAGAGAGACGACAACATAGGATGTTACGTCAAAAAAAACAACTCCATTCGACTTGCGTGTCTTTTTCACTTTTTTTTGTTTTGTTTTTGTATCATGTTATTTATTAAATTTCTCTTATTTTTGACATGGGAATTTAATTAAAATTTTAATTTATTAAAGTTTATATTTGTCTTTTTTAACACTCTTTATAGAAAAACTCTCTTTTTCACTGCATATTTTCACGTGAGTGTTAAACCAGAGAAAAACAAAGTGCCTTTAATTTTTTGGTTCTTTTAACGTGGACCGTGTTTGGCCTTTTTCAAGACAGAAAAATAGTTGCGTTTTTCTACAAACAAAATAAAGTGTTGATTATGCCAAAATTACAGAACAAAATAAATAGTACGAGAAATGATATGGTGAAATCAGCCACAATTATGCTTTCGGAATCAAAATTAGTAAGAACATACAATTCCTGCAAAATAATATGATTGGTAAAATAACTGCAAAAAATCTATAAGTTTATAATATAATGACATCAAAACACTTATTAAAAAACTAACAGTAAAAATCAATATATTATCAATTCTCGATTTAGAAAAATATTAGAAAAAACTTAAAATCTACTATTATTCGGTATTAGAAATCGACCTACGCATTGCGTATGGTTTATTATTGTACTATATTAATTTAATTAATTCATATTTTATTTTAAAGTTTTTTTTGGTTCAAAATTTGTTTCTTTAAAAAAATAAATCAATGGAATCTTCTAAAATAATTTATTTACGAAATATTTTGTTCATAGAATATTTTTTGAAAAATGTACGAATCCAACTAGTGAAAATGTGGCAGTACACTTTGTAATAGTAAAAATGAGAAAGTTAAGAGAAATTTCACAAATTTACCGGAGGCTCACGTTCCGCTTTGAAATTGGAATTAGAATCGAAAATTTTATAAACTTTTGAAATCTCGCTTGTCGCTTCTAAAAAATTCATTTCAAAAGTTCATTGAAAGCATAATACTAACAATAATAGTGAAATTTTTTGTGATAAACAAAACTCACCTACACTCGGTGGATTTCTCCACAGATGGTGATTCTGCTCGCGTAGTTTTCCATAACTCCTTCCTAGAATTAGGTAATCTAATTTTTTATCTGTTCTCACTCTGTTTTTAGTTTTTACTAAAAGTTTTATATACACTGATACACATTTATTTATTTGTCTCATTTTTATCGGCGGAGTGCTTGGCTTTATTAGAATGAAGTATTTGCCTTATATCCTAAACTATATATGGATGTGATTATAACATATGTGTTATGACTGATTTAATTTGAGGTATGGATATAAATCATAGTTAACTTAAAAATGTTGCTAATCAAAAATTCATTTAAATTTTAGAGTTTGTATTCTGTTGAGTATTAATGGTTGGTTTACAAGTTTTAGTTATTCATTTTATAAAATTGTTAAAACCAATGCAAATTTATCTTACCATACATTGTAAGAAAGTATATTGGGTGATATTATTCATGTGAATTGTGTATAGATACGTTGACCTCAAAAAAAAAACAACTTGTTCACTTGATCTGTGTCACAAGTTCAATACATTGTTGATTGAACAAATTTTACTTTCTATTTTGTCAAAAGAACTAACAAAATCATTTAAACAGCAAAATAATATATTACAAGTTGTAATTTACAACTATAAACTATGTTGATAGCGGCAAAAGCTACAATCTTTGTAATTCTTCACCTTCACGGGGTGCACACGATTCTGCTATTTCATGTTTGTCATGGCTTGGGTTATCATTTCGATCTGGGTTCCCAGGATCGCCTTTTTCTCCTGAACCTTGAGTCACCGATAGCCACACGTGTCCCTTATGTTTTAGTTTAAACATTTGGATTTTGCTTTATCTAAATATTGGTTAGTATCTCGAATAGATGAATTTTTAGTTACTTATCCTAGCCGATTAGATAAATTTAGCATACAAGTTTATAATCAAACATGAAAAGAATCAAGTTAACTTGAATTTACCTAATATAATTTTTTGGTCTCTTACATTCTTTAAAAGAAACACCACTTATGTTGTTTTAAATGTTGTGTATCATCTCAAAATGACATCGTAGTTCGTAGACAAATTAAAATTTCTCTTGTTCCCTTAGAGATACTTCAATTTGTCTAATCTACAATTTTTCATTCTACAAATTTTTATTCTGCGAGTTTTATTCTACAACTTATGTTATTATGTGATTATACAATATTATCAATCGGAAAATCTCTTATCAATTTAAATATTGCTTTGGTTCTAATGATGTAAATTGTAATCTAGGATTACATATCTGAGAATCTAAAATTTGTATATATCAAATTTTGTTAGGTGCAGATATGATCTCATCACTTGTATCCTATACATGATCATGATCAATGAATATTCTCTAATTACGGAGATTCATAAAATTACATGGTATTACATGGTATCAGAGCTAAACTAATCACAAAGCTAATATTTTGAGTTTATAATTATAGTTTGGATATTATTTTTGGCTATCTTCTAGGTTTTTTGATATTTTTGTTAACCGTTTTGTTGTCGGTTCGGTTTTGGTTAGTTTGGATAGGAGATTTTACTAGCTATTTCGTTATTTTAAAAATTTCGATCGGTTCGGATACGGTTTGGTTTTCTCCGGTTTGGTTCGGTCGGTTATTCGGTTACCAGTTTTTTTTTCCAGGTCTATACATACCCATCCAGCATGATATGAACAAACTAAATTATGACGTCTAGCACGAGCTATTCAAAACTCATTGCTTCAGTTTTGGTGTCCTTGAACATCTCGATGGTTCTTCTATGCCAACCGCTGAAGATGAAAATCAGTGGAAATAACGTGATGAACTTGTAAAAATGTGGATTTCCACCACGGTGTAAGAACGGCTCCTTGACACCATCCTCAAAGCCAAATCTGAAGCATGTGATCTATGGCTTACGCTTGAAAATCTCTTTCGAGATAACAAGGAGGTGAGAACGATTCAATACGACAACAACCTTCCTATGGATTTGTAGTCTAACTTTTACTCGCTCAGTCGCTTGTCAGTTGTCACAGTGTATTTAGTATATATACATGATCCCTTGGTCCACGTATTATCATCATGCAACAATCATAGATCAAGTTTTTCTAATAACGGTAAATTCCCATAATTAATTACGTATACTTTCACAAAACTAAGAAACACGGTATTGGGAGATGTAGCTATTAATATGGTTTTATGGCTTAGGAAGTGAAAGTTTTGATTAAATTTTGAACATAAGAAATTAAAGAGACCGTACGGATAAATGTCGAAGAAAATAAGGACAATAGTTGGACGTTAGCTAGTAAAAGTGGGCCTCACTTACCGCTTGCACCGTTAGTCCCGCAAACGGCGCCGTTCTCTCGCTTCGAGCCATCATCCCACTTGTTTGTTGTTTCATGTGACTTCTTCGTCTCGAGGCAAACTCTTGACTCTTCGTCACTTTCGCTTATTACCCATTTGTCTGCCAACATTTCTTTTGGCAATATACTCATGTAACTCCAAATAAATCTTCTTATTTGTAAGTTTGTATTTTGGGTTTACATTTCCCTATATTTTAAAGTAATTTTTTTACTATATCAGACGAAAATATAGTATCGTTTCTGTATAATATTATTACAATCTATAGATGTACATAGATCATTTGGGTTTTTTTTTGTTTGTTATTATAGTTTTTTTTTTTTTGATATGGTGTTTATTGATGTAAATAGATTTATAGAGTGAATATCATTTACGTTTTTTGTTTGTTTGTTAGAAATTATAATAGCTTTTTTATCTGGTGTTTATTTTTATAGTTTATGAATGATGCTTGGTAAAAGTAAACTAATAGAATTTTTTTTAATATA